AACACATTGCATTTTAGCAAAGGCACCTACACTTTAGTTGAACACAGTTTCAAATACTTTGCATTACTACATTTTTGACACTCTAAACCAAATCAAACCAAATTAATTTCATTTCAGAACACTCTTGACTCTTGTGAAAACTGGAAATCTCCATCGTCCCAATATGTGTAATCTTTTCCTACTGCAACTTTTTCGATGCCCCCAGTGGCCGAATTAGGGTACTCCATGTATTTCACTTCTCTCTCACTCATTGCTGTAACTTGCTCTGCAACTATCTCCTCCTTAGGTGACACAGGTTCTTTCTTAACTTGCACACTCTTTCTGTCAGGTGTTTTGGCAAACCGTGTAAATTCTATGTGTTGGTGTATATGTCTTGCCAGTCTCTCAATTTTGGAAAATATGCCACCCTAGCATATTTAACTGTCTGTGGCGAACTTAAAAACTTTAGACAATCTTTATGGTAGCCAATGAAACGCATCTCACGGAAACGATTGTTTCTGTTCCTCTCATTTACAGACAATAACACATTTGCATAGTGTCCAAAAATCCTCATGTGTTTAAAACTTGGTGCATAGTCATACAGCTTACGAAAAGGAATATCATCCAAACATTGATCCCACAAATGATTCATGATATAATTGCTTGTATGAATTGCTTCCGGCCAGTACATTTTTGATATTTTCCCGTCTTTGAACAGACTTTTTTTCATGTCATTTAGATACTCCATTATCTTATCTGCAACTCCTTCCTCACTTTTGAGCTGACTCATTTCAATGACTTCAATCCCTTCTGACTGCACAAATTGCTTTAACTCATTAGCACACATTTCAGCTCCTCTATCAATAAATAAAGTTTCCAGTTGCGCATCATAAACACTCTCAACCATTTTTAACCAATTTCCAAGCTTCTCTGTTGCTTCAGATAAATCTTTCAAAAAATACACAAATCCATATTTACTTAATCTTTCAACTATTAACATTGTATATTTCGATTTTCCGCCACTTTCTTGGTAAGGCCCTGTAAGAATTATATGTGCTTTTTCAAATAATCTCCCAGCCCTAATCTTAGATTTCTTGTAAAACTTAATTGGTTCTTGTTTCACCTCAGCACAAATCGCACAATCCAAATCAAAATGACATTTTTCAATCTCATATTCTGGGCACAGATTCAAGGTTTTCTTCAAAACTTCCATGTTAGCATGTCCCATTACTCTGTGGAATAAGTGAATGCATCTATCATGCTAAATTTCATTCTTAACACACAGTATCTCCACATTCTCATTGCTCTCTGTCTGGTTCAATCTTTCAAACATTAAATACATTTTATTTTGTTTCACTCACTTACCAACCAAAATGCCTTGTCTGTCATAAACATAACAGTAAATTCCCTTGAACTTTACATTGTACTTCAGTAAATTCCCTTGAACTTTACATTGTACATCAGTCAGCGTTGCTACGCTCAACAGGTTTGTCTTCATTTCTGGTACATACAAAACTTTGTCCCAACAGACATTAATACAGGGAATATAGCAAGTACCGAATTTGTTAAACAATTGAAAAGACCCATCTGCCATTGTTACCATGTTTCCCTGGGTGACTTGAACGTTGGTCATGTTGTTGAGGCTATTCGTTACATGATGTGTAGCACCAGAGTCTAAAATCCATCTGTCTTTTTTGATGTCATCAAGCTCTCCTGCGGCCGCAACCATTATTCTTGCTTCCTCTGCATGGCTTGTACCATTTCCACCATAATAGCCCCCTCTATTCATGTAGCTTCCACGATTTCTCCTTCCTCTGTATTGATATCTCCTTTCACCACAGCTCCGGTCAAAATGTCCAAATTTATTGCAGATGTAGCACCTCCGGCCAGCTCTGGCAGATCTCTCCAAAGGTTCCGCTTCTCCGGCTCTGGTTGGCAACTCCCCCTCACGGCAACTCAGCTTTCTCTCATCATGTTTCTGCTCATCTTCATAGCAACTTCTTCCTGCTCCGTATCTCCCACGGGCTGTTCCTCTGGGCTGAATCCTTCTCACTTCACAATTCCTGGCTATATGCCCTCGTCTGTTGCAGATAAAACACCGACGAAACTCTGTAGACCTCACAGACGATTCACTGTACACCCCATCACTCCATCTGTCAATCTCCATGGCCAGGTGGATATTTGAAGCAGCCATTCTCAGCACAGATCTTTGGAGACCCTCGGACACCCGAGTTTAGCCCAGCTGAGTGATTGCATACGAACCAAAACAGCTTCTGGCAGTCTACCTCCTGGAGATGAATGGCTTTATGACTTCACACGTCCCGTCATCAATCACCCACTTTACAACTTCTTAATGGGTCCTCAGCATGCTCCGCTTTCACTTCTTTCTGTCATGATTCTTTCACTCACCGAACTGCAGTTTTACTCCGTGCACTCACACTGGAAAGCACAGCAACTTAGCAATTTCTTCCTCTGCTTTCGATCAGGCTGCTCCAGTTTCCATGCGCCAGCAACCTCCCGAGTCAACTGGGTTAAACTCCATGGTTCTGGTCAGCAAGTTTGCAGGTCTGGATCTTAGTAAACCTCCGGCGACACCCCCTCAACTCTGTCAGGTCAGGCACACAGGTCTGGAACACAGGTCAGGAACGCAGGTCAGGAACGCAGGTCAGGGCCCATAACCTATTGTCAGAGTGAGACCCTGGGGTCTATTCACAGCGAAATTGAGGTTACCAGATCACACAGACGCAAAACAGGACACTGCAGTCTTCCAGTTTCAGAAATAACTTCAAGTTTACTTAGTACATCTCAATACACGTCTACTTCTCAGCGGGCTACATCATGAACACTACAAAGCACAGCACACAACAGTTTCCAGAACATTTGCTTATCTCATTTCTCTCTGGCTGTATCCTCCCTTTTTCTTCCCAGGCAGGAAAATTTGTTATCCAACTTCTGTCAAGGTCTTTACTCTCTCTGCCTCTAGCAACAACAATCCTAGCATACAATTGAACATAACTGAATCCATTTTGAATACATATGAACACCATTGTTAAACATATTGAAACACATTGAAAAACATACATGCATACTTTCAATAATCCTGACAAAGACTATACTGCTTTCTGTTGTGATCATACCTTGTTTGGTTGGTAAACAATATGGATAGAGACAAAAAGGTTTAGAAGCCCAGGTAGGATTCTTGGAACATTGTATAACAAAACTTGCAAGCCATTATTGTGTTGTCGAAGGTTTTCATGGCCGGAATCACTGGGTTTATTTATTTATTTATTTATTTATTTATTTATTACCTTTATTTGTACCCCGCTAGCATCTTCCGAAGGACTCGATGCGGCTTACAAAGGCCAAGGCCTCAATACATAACATAATACACAACTGAAAACAAATCAAAACAGTTAAAGCAATATAAACAACAAAACAATAAACCAGGTTGCTTTGGGTTTTCTGGTCTGTGTGGCCATGTTCCAGAAGCATTCTCTCCTGATGTTTCACCCATATCAATGGCAGGCATCTTCAGAGGTTATGAGGTCTGTTGGAAACTAGACAAGTGTGAATGTTGCAATTGGCCACCATTAGCATTTAATGGCCTTGCAGCTTCAAAACCTGACTGATTGCTCCCTGGGGGGATCCTTTGAATAAATCAGTGCCAGCTAACACCTTCCAAGAAAGGATTCCCCCAGGCAGCAATTAGCCAGTCCCCCACCCTCCCCTAGACCCATTCCTGTGAGGCGTCCCAGAAGGATACTGTGATCTAGGGTATAAAAGGCACCTGACAGGTCCAGGAGAACCAACAGGGACGCACTCCCCTTGTCCAGTTCCCTATGCAGATCATCCACTAGGGCAACCAAGGTTGTTTTCTTGTAAAACCAGACTGCGTTGGATCCAGTTGGTCAGTTTCCTCCAAGAACACCTTGTGTGGCAAGGGGAGATTGGAAACTCCCCTTTTTATTGCAGCTTCTTTTTAAACTGACTGGAATCTTGCATTCCCGTAAGGAGGCATTAACTACCACCTCCACCCATTCAGCCAAACCCCCTCTAGCTTCCTTTATCAGTCAGGATGGACAGGGGTCTAAGATGCATGTGTTTGCCCTTGCTTCTCCAAGTATCTTGTCCACATCCTTGAACTGCACTAATTGAAATGAATCTATCAAAACAGGACAAGCAGATGCTCGTGTTACATCCTCAGAAACTGCTGTTAACATGGCGTCAAGATCAGAGCAGATCAGAGCAACTTTGTCCGCAAAGAACTGAGCAAATGCTTCAGAATGAGCTGCCAGGTTATCTGAGTCCACACTGTCATATATTCCAGTTCTCTTCCTTCAGCTCTCTTGCTTGGATTACAGTTTCCAGGCCCTTTCCTCCTGTATCTTCCTTGCTTCCAGAGCTCTATTTCCCCTCCTACTTATCTTTTTACTGTATGGAAGAATGGGAATACCACCTGGGGTTTCTGTTGTTGTTATTTTGTTGTTATCATCATCATCACCATCATCATCATCATCACCACCACCACAAAGACTGGATAGTGATGTGTTAGGAGTGCTTTGATTGTACTGTTACTTCATGGCAGAAGGGTTTTGGACTGAATGGCCCCTGGGGTTGCTCCCATTACTATTATTATTACTACTACAGAGGCTGGATTGCCATCTACCAGGAGCGCTTTATGCTTTTCCTACACGGCACAAAAGGGGGTTGGACTGGATTGCACCTGGGGTTTTCTACTAAAATACTGTTAAGTTTATGAAATGTGAGCAGGACATGAATGAAATATGAGCAGGACATGTACCTTAAGCTTGAGCTACCTATTTTGAAGTACTGGATTAAAGGTATCAGGAAGCATGTCCACAAACCAGTTTGCAATTCTAGTGAATTGTTCTTAACAGTTGTGCAACAAAAGTTCTACTTTGTTTTGTTTTCAAGGGCTTAAGATTCCCTGGGTTGAAAAGCTTTGCTCCCGATAAAAGAGGGGAGCTATTACTAATGGACTTAAATGAAGAAAACCCACGACCGATTGAGCTACGAATCAGCCGTGGTTTTGATCTGGCATCTTTGAATCCTCATGGGATCAGCGTATACATTGATAAAGGTAAGTTGATTTGGGCTATAAAGGAAACAATTGCAACAAGAGACCTCCTTTTCCAGCTGTTTGCAGTTTTCGCAGTTTTCGCAGTGTCAGTGGGTAGCCAAAGTCTTTTTTTCCCTTTTTATTGTTTGCAAATTAAAACTCAATTTTCTCTGTTCCTTTGAAGCTACTCATTAAAGTCTAGGTGAAGAGTTTTGAAAAGTTACTTTGGGGACCAAAATCTCTCAGCTAGTGGCCAATGAGTACAGGAGAATTAGTAAAAGATCTGAAGATAAGTTTATGTGTCCTTCTGCTTAGGCTTGTGGACATCATAAGGCTTTCTTATTACAGCAGGCTTATGAAGAGAATCAGGGGAAGAAAAAAGTGGGAGAATCCAGCGTTTTAGTTCTCATGCTTCATTCAATTTAAAAGGGCGCATCTTGAAATCTCATCTGTCAGTTTCATATACTGGGATGAAATTTTAACAGAGGAATCAATAGTTTGAGTCAGGGGGATTAGTAGGATCCCTCAGTCATCCACATTGGGGGGTACATCTCTCATCATGGACAATGAGGCAATCCCTTTTATTCCCAATGCATCAAGAAATGCCAGTATTTGAAGCTATTATAGGACCTATGCTGGTTCCTATATTGTAGTGGTTTTCAATCTGTGGGTCCCCTGGTGTTTTGGCCTGCAACTTCCAGAAATCCCAGCCAGCTGACCAGCTGTCAGGATTTCTGGGAGTTGAAGGCTAAAGCATCTGGAGACCCACAAGTTGAGAACCACTTTCCTTAGGGAAGGAGGACTTAGACATGGTTTTGCCAGTTTYTTCTGGAATCTAGCACCACCAGGTATTTYTTATCCAAATAATAACCAGGGCTGGTCTGATTGGCTTTGAAAATCAAACGGGATCTGGTGTATTTAYTTAGGCSTCTTCATTGATCATAACCAACTGGAAAACTAGCTGAGCTCTCTAACCTGTTCTGAATGTCATGATCATCACCCCCCCCCCCCGGAAATACTTAGAAAAGGAAGTTTCCTCAGAGGCTTGAGAACCCGTGGTTTTCATTTTACAAAAGAGTTGTTCTTGTGTGCTACCATTACGTGGTTCTCAACTTGTGGGTCTCCAGATGTTTTGGTCTTCAACTCCCAGAAATACTGACAGCTGGTAAACTGGCTGGGATTTCTGGGAGTTGAAGGCCAAAACATCTGTGGAGACCCACAGGTTGAGAGTCACTGCTGTATTGGGGGTTTTTTTAAAAAAGAAAAAGTGTAAGTTGGACTCAGAGGGTTATGATTTTGATGCATTTGGACACCTCTTGAGGTTCAACTTTGAGATGTGAAGACTGGGGTGGGGGGGGGGGKGAGAACAAATTGAGTCTTTTCCCCAGAAAAATAATTTTTAAAATGTGAACATTCTGATTTTTAAAATCTCTAGAGGAAGTCTTTCTCTCAATCCCACTGCCATCCTAGGCATGAGAGATTGGTTTCTGCCAATTTATGGAACTCATTTATTTGGGAAATCCGGATGGCCCCTCTCTGCTGTCTTTCTGCTGGCCAATAAATACCCCTTTTATGCAAGGAAACTTTTTTTAGTGTGTTGTTGTCGAAAGAGCTTTTGATGGAAAGTGTAGTGCTCTATATTATCATGTTATGAGTGCCTTTTAATGTTATTTTTGTGTTTTAAAACATAAATTTAATTAAAATGTTCTCTTTAGAGATACCTAGATTCTCCTATGGATCACTATAGTCAGTTTCCACCAAAAGGTGGTCATAAGAGTCATTATGGAGGAGCTAGAGATTTCTAGAGAGGTCCTCTAGGAATCTCTAGGTTCTTTCAGGTGAAAAAAAATCAGGGTGTTTTTTTTTTCAGTTTTTCAACTTTTGTGAGAGTCCTAAATCTCTAACCCTGGGAATTTAGAGTCCCTATCAAAATGTTACTGTGACTTTATAAGCTCTCAAGAGTACCTGTGTTCTATTCCAAGTGTCTCCAACCCACTTAACTATATGCTTCTCCCTAGATGATACTGTGTACCTTTTTGTCGTCAATCATCCACAGTACAAGTCATTGGTGGAGATTTTTAAATTTGTTGAGGATGACAATTCTCTGGTGCATCTTAAAACTATCACACACGAGCTCCTGCCAAGGTACCAAATAATGAATGGTCAAGGGTTTTCTTTTCAGGTAAGGTGGAGGGGACATGGATTGTAATAGGGAACATCATGGCAAGTGGGAGCTGGAGGGAGCACAAGGTAACATATTAAGTGAAGGGAAGTTGGTGTGTGGAGTGGAAGAATCAAATTGACTTGATTGGTGATGGATTTCAGAGACCACTGGTTAATTGTTTGGATTACAGTTTCCACATCTGGAAGTTTAACCATTGCAGATTTGATAAATACATTCTCAAGGTCCTCCAGCAAAACTCTTCTTGCCTAACAGTTGCACTATAGGAACTGGAGCTTCCTAGAGATAACATTTCTGTAGATACTTGTTAGTCTTCCAGCATGGTTCTGTGGTCAACCTGTGATGGATGTTGATCATAGCATTGCACTGGAGCACTTAAAGATTCCTTGATCCTCAGGATGTCCTCCTTAGTTTTAAAAAAAAATGATGGGTTTTTCCTTCTTTTGTGGGCCCTGTGCCTCTAACCCAGGCATTGGCAAACTTCATCCCTCCAGGTGTTCTGGACTTCAACTCCCATAATTCTTAATAGTGTGTGAGCTGATGAGAATTGTGGGAGTTGAAGTCCAAAACACCCAGAAGGCTGAAGTTTGCCCATGCCTGCTCTAACCCTTGTGAAAGTGAAGGGATTGGTGTAGTGTGATTTTCCCCCCATTCATTGTTCCTTAAATACTGTATTTAGGTTAATTCTAATTGTCTGTGAAACCTATAGTTTCAGTTATATGAATGCTGGTATTTTTCAGTATTATAGAATAGGTCCAGTATCCAATTTTCTTCTTCTGTCTTTTGTATTCTCCGTGTCTAGGCCGTGAAATGATTTTAGAGAGTGTGAAATATATTTGTCATTGTCTATATCTTTTGGGCAATTGTTTGACATCCACATCTAAATCCCTCCCTGACCACAACATGGACCCCGCCCAGTGTATCAAAACATCGCCATATTTCATCAGAGTTCCTATCAAAATGTTGCTGTGTCACTTCTCCCGTGTCACCATTTTTAAAGGAACATAAATGAAAACAGGCATTGGATAGGGAAGGAAATGTGCTCAGTGGCTTTCTATGCAGCTTTCAGTCAAAAATGCACCAGATTTTCCTTGAAATTGGGATCTAAGAGACTTTAGGAAACTGGCAGGAGTTTCAAGGATCACAGATGTGCGGTTCAGAAGTGACCAATTTCCTGTGGGTCATACTTTTCCGATGTATTTTTGATTTTGTATGAAAGCCTATACCATCACAGTTATGTATTCCTCTCTTTACTCTTTGCTGTTTTGCAGTGTGAATGATATCGTGGCTCTGAGCCCTGATAGTTTCTATGCTGCCAATGACCATTACTTCAGTCAACAAATCTTGAAGCTCTTGCAGGCGTTCCTGGGATTGAATTGGGCAAATGTTGTTTACTACAGTCCAAACGAAGTTAAAGAAGTGGCAGGAGGATTTTACTTTACTGCTGGTATTGGCATTTCACCTGATGGAAAGTAAGTTTTTTTTTGTCTGTTTTAAAAATATCCACATCACCTCTTGCCAAAAAAATAAAATAAAATCATACTCAGATTTTTGATACAGATGAAGAAAATGTAGCAAGAACATATTAAAATAACTAAATTTGAAAGAAGGAGAAAAAACAACAATGAATGTTACCAGCTTCAGAATGTAGTTTCTTTATTATCTTTCCAGTAAGACTGGCTTTCTTGGAAATGAATAGATTATGGACTAGGTGTCAAGTATCATGAAGCTTCTAAAGCTCTCTAAAGAAGCTTCAACACAGGTTGGGAACCATCACTGTGAAGGCCATGGTCAGCTGTGTCATGTCTGTAGATCAGCATATCTTGAGCAAAGCCATATCAGTTAGGAGCTCTACTCCACAAAGTCAACATTTCCAAAAACTAGGTGGGAAACCCTAGCATACCTTTGTCTTTGCAGGCATCAGAGCTCAAATGTTCTCCAGTGCTAAATTTTACAGAAGTATTGCAGAATAGTATAAAGCAGCATCTATACATTTCTCAGTGAAAAGCATTGCTGTTGTCCTATCTCCAAACGGATATCTTTTTATGCTGCTAGCTTGCTATTTTTTAAAAAAGTATTTTCCTTTGCTAAATGTGGTGTTTTTCTGAAATGTAATAATAAGGTGCTAATACTGTACTTGACATCAACCTTAATGTGATAATGTTGTACTGACATCAACTTTAATGTGGAAATTAACTGATGCCTAGTCTTTAAATGTGCTGAATAAATACATTAATAATAATAATAATAATAATAATAATAATAATAATAATAATAATTTTATTTATTGTTAAATCTCAACAGGACAAGTTATCATTTGGGCAAATCATAGTTGGGAGACATTTTGGCGACAAAGCAAAATGATTTATAAAAGCAAAAAAAGGGGGGGGGGGTTTATTTTATCCTCCATACACAATTTGAGAATGTGCTCAGGATAGAATAGTTGAGATCAGTAATTGATATGCAGATAGCATTGTATCTTATACCTATTTGTGACATTTGGATAGAGTTAAGAGAAGAATGAATTTTTTTTTAATTGCATTGAAACTGCTTGAAATGTCAACCTAACCAACCATCGTAACTATTAATTTTCTGTTCCTGTTGTGAATGAATACATGATTTTTTTCACGGTGTTGGTAGACAGAATTCTTAAACACTGGGAAAGCATTAATGAAAAAAGACACTCAACCTTCTTCTTTCATTTCAAGGCATGTCTATGTTTCTGATTCAATGGGCAATAGCGTGCATGTCTTTGAAAAACATGCCAATTTCAGTTTGTCTCCTTTGAAGGTAAGCTACGTGTGGCCTTCATTTCCAAAACAAAATTAGACATATTGGGCATTTTCTTCCTGTTTTAAAAGATTATTTACGTTACAGTATGCGTCCATGTGTACACATCCATTCATTTACATTAGGAAATAAATATTGTTGACACATTTGTATGTACAGAATATTCTGTTGTTTGCCGGTATCAATGAGCTGTTGGTGACATTCTCTAAAACAGTGATTCCCAACCAGTGGTCTATGGACCACCAGTGGTCCGCAAGAACTAAAATATGGTCCTCAGTCTCACCATTACTACACCATTGCAATGAGAGTGACTGGTCTTGTGAAATACTCTTATAGTGCTGAGGCTTATTAAATATGGTTTTCTGTGGGCAAGCAGATGACGACTGCTGGATGGCATATGTTCTGTATCAGAAACTAGAGCTGATGTGGTCTAGCCAACGCAATTTTCTGAATCAGCACCGCAAATAACCAAACTGAATCTAAAGTTGACCAAAAACCTTTGGTACTAATGTTGAAGAGTGGTCCCTGGTCCAAAAAAAAAAAAGGTTGGGAACCACTGCAAAGTCCAGTAAATATAAGTCTGGTGGACTCATGTCTCCACAAGACAGCTTAAAATGTGCAAACAAATCCTTGAGGTTCATACCAAGAACCATGCAGGAGGGTTTCAGATGTAGGGCAAGACCACTGGGCTACAGGGAAAATAGTGATGGCTGCCCATAGACATCCGTGAAACTAAGAAGCAGTGTCTAGCACAGCCCTGCATGATTGAATTTGAAATATTTGTATACTTGCATTACTCAGGTCCTTTTCAATTACTTCTCAGGCTTCGGGAATTTTTTCTTAGGGCTTCATCATACTAGAGCATGGATCCACTATAAATCGGGTTGTTGAGCATGGATCCACTTTAAATCCGGTTGCTTCCTCTTGTAACATTCTGGGGCTTTTAGTTTAGGGGAGGAGCCTTTAATGCTCAGCCAAGCAGGTCCTGGGCCTCACTAAACTACAAACTCCAGAATGATACAGGAGACAGTGGATCCATGCTGTAGTGTGATTGGGTCCTTAGGGGCTAGAAGGGCAATTGGAAGTATCCAGAAGTTTGCTATGATCCATGGATAAATCAATGTTTGGGTCCCAAACCTGCCCTCAAATTGTCCGTGAGATTGACTTACAGTTGAGTATATAGAGTAGAACCCCTGCAGGGGTACTAGTTACAATGTAATTGCTTTCAGCATTGCATGCGGTTATTGCAAGTTTTTCTTGAATGTTCCATGGTTTCTCCTGTGTACTTTAGACATTACAGTTGGACAGTGTAATTGATAACATATCAGTTGATCCTTACACTGAAGACATTTGGATAGGCGGCCATCCCAATGGCATGAAGTTGGTCTTCTATGATCCAAATAATCCTCCTGGTTCAGAGGTAAGAAATTATTTTAGCAAGATGGGTAATAAATCTGTGATGTTTCATCTAGGATATAAGAAGGGATGTATAATTTTTAGTGTTTCTCCAATTTTTTAGACAATAATAATATAAGGACAATCAGCAGCAAGAAAAGAAAACCAAAACACAATGGAAACTATTCATTTTGTTATTTTTGTGTGCCATCAAGTCATTTTTGACTTGTGCTGCCGTAACAAATACGGTTGCCGGCAACGAGAGAGAGCTTCTTGGTAGCCGTCCCGCTCCTTTGAAACTCCCTCCCCAATGAAATTAAAACTACCCCTTCCCTGTTATCTTTCAAGACCCAGTTGAAGACCTACCGGTTCAAGCAAGTTTTTGACAAATGAATTGAATTGCTAATGACAGCAAGGTCAATTTGCAAAGTGCTTAGCAAAATATACTATTTAATTGATGTGTCTCCACAATAATTGTAATTGGTTTTATATGTTTTTAATGCTTAATATTTATTTATATCTTATTTCTGGAGGTTATGATACTTTGTATGATTTTTGGCATGTATTTTATGTTAAATGTGCTTTGATTTGTATTGTACTATGTTGTGAGCTGCTTTGGGTCCCGTTAGGGAGAAAAGCAGGATATAAATATAAAAGTGGGATATATAAAGAGTGAAAAGAGGGGGGTTAGTTGAAGACAGTTCCATATTGTCTCCTGTGCTTTACTAATATAATATATTGTATATACATATAATATTTATAATATTATAATGTAATACAGTATAATACTAATAATACAATATTGTAATTATATATTTTATATTACATGTAATATTACTAATAATATTACAATATAATGATGTAGTACAATATAGTAATATATAATACTGATATTGTACTATGCTAATAATTTAATATATTGTATGTATATATATATCTTGTAAACCACTCTGAGTCCCCTTTGGGGTGAGATGGGCGGCATATAAATATCGTAAATAAATAAATAAATAATAAAGATTTATTATTATACCATCAAGGCATTCCTTCTAACATTTAGTCAAAATGTACCCTCCTGTAACTGAAACATAAACGAGGGAAGGAGGCATAGGTGGAAAAGATATGCTAACACAGGGTGAGATTATTTCTGAAGCCTCCAAACAGGTTAAGTGTTAACCTGCATCAATTTTTGCTCTTTCAGGTAATTCGTATACAGAACATTCTGTCTGAGAAGCCCACCATCACCCAAGTGTATGTTGACGATGGTTCAGTACTTCAAGGAAGTTCCTGTGCTACAGTATATGATGGGCATCTGTTCATTGGCACTGTATTTCACAGACTCCTCCATTGTAAGCTGGACCCTAGCAGCGGAAAAGGTCAAAGTAATCAGAACTGAGCTTCTTGCCCTGTCCAGCTCTGAAATGCCTAACTTCATTCCAAATAGAATAACACGAGTTGTTTCTGGCCTTTTTCACATGCACCTTCCATAGAGAGAGAACGTTTATGGTCTTAACTAGAAGAATTTGTATTTTTTGGAAACACACACACAGATAAGAACAGTGAAAGTGGAAGAAATGTTGGGCTTTTTATTACATCACTGTTTAAGATGGAGATTTACATTTTTCTAACATTCATAAAAAAGCAGAACCTGTGTTGCTTTTTCTTTTTGGGGAGGAGGGAAAGGGGATGGACAGCTGTGTCCAGGGTTTGATCTTGATCATCTGTTGGTAGCCGTCCTGAGTCCCGCCTTGGAGGTCGAGATAGGATGGGATATAAATGTTCCAAATAAATAAAAATAAGTAAATCTTTACGATTCATTAATGCTAAGAATTGTCTGCAGAAGGATGCATTTTCTTTTTGCCACGGGTTCTTTTGAAAACTCTCTAAACAGAACATTCATCTTCCAATGTATTCAGTACTACTCTTGACTTCTTTTCTTTCATTTTCTAACGTATGGTGCCTTAATGTCTATGTCTTGGATCCAGATTTCATGTTATGTGCCTTCAATGTGATTCTGACGTACAATGATCCTATCATAGGGTTTTCAAGGCAAGTTTTTTTCCCCATTGCTGTTCTGTAAAATGGAAAGAGTGGCTTGCCAAAGACCACCCAATGGTTTTCCATGGACGAGCTGGTGAGATTCAAACCCTGATCTCATGTAATCCCAGGTCATCTCAATTCACTATAGGACATTTGTTCTCATATCCAGATTTAGTCTTCATGGATTTAAGCCTGATTGATTGCAGTGGATCTTCTAGAATGACTGAATCTAACCCTGTACAATTGGCCCTCTGAATCCGTGGATTCAACCATTTGAAAACATTAAAAAAGAATTTCCAAAAGCAAACCTTGATTTTGCCATTTTATATAATGGGCATCATTTTACCATGACATTGGTATGGTACTTGGGACTTGAGCAGCTATGGATTTTGGTATCCACAAGGGAGCAAGGAACCAGACCTCAGCAGAACCATGTCACACATGGAATTTATTCCTTTTTGCTGCACTGATATCTAGACAAGGGATTGTTATATATTCCCAGTGAGGTCTAAAGTAGGTTGACCTAGTTTTTAGTTGCAAAAATTATTCACATGGACAGCCAATGCCACCTTTGCTTTCTGATGGTTCAGTGTACCAAAACTTTGTTGTAGGCACAAACCACTAAATATTTGTATAAAATTAAATTCCAGCCTTGTAGATAATGGATATAGAATCATAGAGTTGGAAGAGACCTCGTAGGCCATCTAGTCCAACCCTCTGCCAAGAAGCAGGAAAACCACATTAAAAGCACCCCTGAAAGATCGCCATCCAGCCTCCAGATCGCCATCCAGAAGGAGTCTCTACCACACTCCGGGGCAGAGATTTCCATTGCTGAACAGCTCTCACAGTTAGGAAGTTATGAAACATAAATGACTTACATGTTTAGACTTGCAACTCATCTCCAAAATACCATATTAAGTGCATATCTGTAAATACAGATATTCCAGAATCTGAAATCCAAGACACTTCTGATCCCAAGCATTTAAAATAAGGAATTCTCAACCTGTATTGGTAATGTTGATTCATGTGCTACTCTGTGTACTTTGATGCACCATTACATCCATAGGGATCCTATGTGTGCAAATGTATTTATGCTGTTATCAACTGAATAAAACACTTGCCCACTGTAATTTTTACAGATTGTCCTTGCACATATCACTAATGTGATGCCAGTCTATAGTTCTATTTTTTCAAAATGCATAGTTGCATCATGTTTGAGACATCATACACAGTTGACGGCAAATTCCTTGCTGTAACACTCTTGCAGAGCAGTCTGAGGTCACATTCAGAATAAATATAAAAGGTCCTTGCAAAATGATGCACACTTAATTCTTATTCTGCTTAATACTGTATAAGTTGAAAATCTGGCTGGTATGTCTGAGAAAGCTGGATCTTTTCGTGGGGGCCCTAACTACTATTGTCCAAGATTTAGATGCAGCAAAAAAACAAGCAAAACCCTCTCTGCCCCTCACTATTTTTGAGAGCTGTGGCAAAAATGGCTGTTCTTAAGAAACAGCTGATCCAAAGCATCTAGGAGTTTTCACACTTATCTGCTGTAATGTATGTCGCATTACAGCATAACTGAAGCAGGCCTTGGTTAACCCAAGTTAGTACAGTGTGTCATTTTGCCACCACACAGCTCATTTGTCCTCCTTTCATGGTAACAGGTCAGTGTAGATGTGCCCTAGGAACCACCAGGTCCTCTAGTATAACTCTTATTGTCAACGTCTAATGAAAGATTACTATAGAATTGCTCTGGAAGATATAGAGATCCAAGAGAGGTGTTCTTTCTAGGAATCTCTAGGTTCTCCAGGGTGACTTCATGGTCAGCTTCTGGGCACCACAATTGAAGGGAGATGTTGACAAGCTGGAATGTGTCCAGAGGAGGGTGATTAAAATGATCAAGGGTCTGGAGAACAAGCCCTATGAGGAGCGGCTTAAAGAGCTGGGCATGTTTAGCCTTCAGAAGAGAAGGCTGAGAGAAGACATGATAGCCATGTATAAATATGTGAGAGGAAGTCATAGGGAGGAGGGAACAAGCGTGTTTTTTGCTGTCAGATACTGAAGACTAGGACACGGAACAATGGCTTCAAACTACAAGAAAGGAAATTCCATCTGAACATTAGGAAGAATTTCCTGACTGTGAGAGCTGTTCAGCAGTGGAACTCTCTTCCCAGAGTGTGGTGGAGGCTCCTTCTTTGGAGGCTTTTAAACAGAGGCTGGATGGCCATCTGTCGGGAATGCTTTGAATGATTTTCCTACTTCTTGGCAGGGGGTTGGGCTGGATGGCCCATGAGGTCTCTTCCAACTCTATGATTCTAAGATTCCCAGATTCCTCGAGATAACAAATCCATAGTAGACAGATCCATAAATGTGGAGGACCAACTGTTATTACTTCATCTTAACCCACTGAACCCAAAGTCTTTAACATCACAATAAGGACAGAATCTCAAGCCAACAAAGTCCAAATCTTCTACCAAGAAGCTGGAACACACAAGGGCATCAAACTGCCTCTTTTTGCTAATTAAACACAAAAAATTAAGAGGAATTAGAAAAAACTTTTCCAGGGCTTGAGGATTGCCCAGAGATACAGATACACTCTGGAGGGAGGTTGGATCTCCTCCAACATTTGTCTCCGTTTCCATCCTGGAGGGAAAGTCTAATGAACCTAATGCCTTCTAGGAGGCTTTCTAAATGGGAGAAAATCACACTGTGATAATAGTTCTTTAATGACATGAAATGCATGCCTTGACTTACATTCATTTTTTTAAAGTCTCAAATGTAATGTGGTTGTTTTTCTTCAACAAAATAAGTGCTGAAAAAACCAGATAGCGGCAATTAGAAGGGCATCTTAACTATCTCATTCCAATTTACCAGTAGAAAGTCTTAGCCAGTTTCAAGAATACAATGGGATTTGGAAAGCTTTTAATAAAAGCAGAACCTTTTCTTCTGATTTCTAATCTACTGTTCTTAAAAAAAATACTGAGTTAGCAAATTGTTTTACGTTGCTTGTAAATAAAAAAAATGTGTGGAATAGTCATTACTATTATTAGGTCATATTATGAGAAAGATTTTTGTTTCTTTTTTCATAGTTTGTCCATTGTTAAGTGGCAAGTTGTAACAGATACAATAATAATAATTATAATAATAGCTGACACGGTATGAGGATTTAAAGATTGAACTGCAAAGACTCTGGCACAAGCCAGTAAAGGTGGTCGCAGTGGTGATCAGCACACTGGGTGCAGTGCCTAAAGACCTTGGCCTGCACTTAAACACAATCGGCGCTGACAAAATTACCATCTGCCAGCTGCAAAAGGCCACCTTACTGGGATCTGCACGCATTATTCGCCGATAAATCACACAGTCCTAGACACTTGGGAAGTGTCCAACGTGTGATTCAATGCAACAGCCAGCAGAGTGTCTGCTGTGGACTCATCTTGTGTTTATAATAATAATAATAATAATAATAATAATAATAATAATAATACTTTATACCCCGCCACCATCTCCCTGAAGGGACTTGGGGTGGCTAACTTGAAGCCAAGCACAAATAATTACAATAAAGCAAAGTACATGCAAAACAGACGAAACATCAAATAAAAATGCTTAACAGTAACATAGTAATGCAATAATAATAATAATAATAATAATAATAATAATAACGACAATAACATAAGAGAAACAAAGTATAAAATGCTAAAAGAGTTAAACAAGGGCTGGGCCAAATGCGAAGGATAAAAAATGTAAAACAGTGGGTGAGATAAATAAGATGCTGTGTCTAGTGGGATCATGCTGCCAGTTGTATCATCTCAGCACAAAAAAACAAACAAATGAAATAAAAAGCTGTTGTGTAGAACAAAGTTCTAAATCATTTTCCTGAAGATCCTGTAATAAAACTATACACCTGGCAAATTTTACTGTGCTCTAAAACTATTTTGTCATAAAACTCATTTTATTTCACTTGGACTGTAATTTTTTTGCAGTTGAACAGAGGAAATTGTTTGTCTCTTGCCTCATTTGATTTTCTGGCATGAGAGTGAGATGCTTTTTTGTGTTCATGATTGTGTTTATTTATCTAGTGGATACAATCCGGTGTATATAAGACTGTATATAAGACTCATGCAATGGGCAAAAAAGGACTTTAAACACAACTATAGCTAACCTTGTACTTTCTTGTGAAATGGACAGTCAAATACGACCATTTTGGCAAGAGATTGTAGTACAGTAGAGTCGCTTATCCAACATAAATGGGCCGGCAGAACGTTGGATAAGCAAAACTGTTGGATAATACGGAGGGCTTAAGGAAAAACCTATTACGTTATGATTTTACAAATTAAGCACCAAAACATCCTGTTTTACAACAAATCAGCAGTTCAATACATGGTAAAGTTATGTAATGACTGTATTTACAAATTTAGTACCAAAACATCGCAATGCATTGAAAAAGCTGTGGATCTGGGTGGGAGGCAGACTGTGCTGGATAACACAAAATGTTGGATGAACAAAGGTTGGATAAGCGAGAGTCTACTGTACCAACCATGTCTTTATCAGTTCCATAGATAAGTTGAGGATAAAACTTATGTGCCTGCAACAAACACAGACTTTCCTCCTCTTTTAAAAATGCATAGAGAGACTTACTTGGGAAGAGCTGAAGAGAAGGCGAGGATCTGTTCATATGAAGAGTTGGGTCTGTGGGTAAATTGCATTGCTGATCCCTAGCTATACATAGAGTACAGGAATATAAACAAGGAAAAAGAATGAGAATAAAGCCTGGGGACAAAAAGTCTGAGGAAAAAGAGCAAGAAAAGCGACATGCCTCTGTTAGGGATGCCGCACAAAGGATGTAACAAAAGGCAGAAGTGAAAGGTGTTCCATCCTACTATACCTCCCTAGTCCAAACTGAAGAAAGCTTTCTTTCCTTCCTTGCCTTCATTTTTAGCATTCAGTAGCAACGTGTGGGGTGCAAAGAATGTGGTGCACCTGCCTTTTTGAGAGTGGCAACAGCCATTTTTAATAGGGACCCTATGCTGTAAGCTCCTTCCCATTTTGGTCACTTAAGGTGGAATGCAGCAGTGGTGGACATTTTTAATAGAGACTTACTGTCTGAAAGTCTCGCAAGGCTGGCAGAAGGATTGCCGAGCCCTGCAAGACTTATACATTGAGAAGCCCTATTAGAAAATGGCCACTGCTCTGCTCCACTTCAAGCGCCCAAAATAGGAAGCACAAAGCATTTCCACAATTGAGTATTAAGTCAACTCATGAGTTTTGTGGGTTGAATTTTTGTAAAACAACAACAACAACTGTATCTAGAATAGGTTTATAGTAAAGTAAAGGTAAAGGTTTTCCCCTGACATTAAGTGTAGTTGTGTTCGACTCTGGGGGTTGGTGCTCATCTCCATTTCTAAGCTGAAGAGCCGGCATTGTCCATAGACACCTCCAAGGTCATGTGCCCGGCATGACTACATGGAGCGCAATTACCTTCCCGCTGGAGTGGTACCATTTGATCTACTCACATTTGCATGTTTTTGAACTGCTAGTTTGGCAGAAGCTGGGCCTAAAAGCAGTAGCTCAAGTCTGTCCCCAGATTTGAACCTGTGACCTTTCAGTCAGCAAGTTCACCAGCTCAGTGCTTTAACCCACTGCACCACCGGGTTATATAGACCCCAATTTTTGTTTTCTGATATTTGGCCTAAATCTAGCCTACAATATCATCCCATGGCTTTCTGTCATTTTAAGCTAGTATATTGAAATTTGTATAGAAAGTTACAAATAAGCTTAGTAGCAAATTGCATCCTATCATGAAGCAGATTAGGATTTTCATTCTCTATGGGATTATAAAGCTCTATCTAGCCTCAAGGCAACTGTGTCAGATCTCTGAGCTGAAATTACTTTTATGGATTTTTGGGAGCTGAACCCTTGTCTAGTACTGCATTTTATAAGCTTGGCAGCTCCTTCAGGCTGTTAGCTTTGAGGGCCTTTGGAGGACAATGACAAAGAAACGAGTTTTAAGTTCTGACTTTCTGTCTTTACATTGTCTTTGGGGCAATTTAAGGAGGAAACAAGTATAACAAAACTTTACTAAGCTTTTCAGGTTGGTTGCGTCTCATTAGAATTAGCCTTATCTCATTAATTCTCATTAGAATTAGCCTTATCTCAATGCTGGTATTTGTTACAGCCAGAGCTTTGTTTTTCACTTATGCATTTAGTCATTTTGTGGTCAGATGCTCACAGGAGATTTCAGCCAGGCGGCTTCTTGACATACAGTTTTGCTTGTTAAACATAAGGTATTAAATTGTTAGTGGCTTGGCAGGCTGAAAAAACATTTAGTAGATCCTTGCTTTTGAAGTACTGTAATGGTTGCCAATGAATGAGTGCATTATTAAGAGCAGAATGTTGCTCTTTGTTTTATGAGAGACTAGGGAAAGTCTGTCAATGAAAAAGGTCAAAGGATGAGGAGCAATGCTCTCAGGAATAAGTCAGGCCAGCTGAACAAATTGTTTTAAGGAAGTTGATCTTCAGTGTTATTTTATTGTCTTCCTTACTGGGTATTTGGCTGGATGCCCTGGAATGCAGCCCACTGCATCTTTTTGAGCCGCCGCAAATTAGTGTCTTGGGAGAGCAAACTGTGCCAGCACGACCGATGACGTCGAAGACTCCGCCTCTTTCTCCGCGCCCGCGTGGTTTTCCCTTTGCTAGGGCAGCGATGCAAGCGTACTCTCGCTGTTGAGTTCTGTCAACAGCGAGAGTACGCTCGCATCGCTGCCCTAGCAAAGGGAAAACCACGCGGGCGCGGAGAAATAGGCGGAGAAAGAGGCGGAGTCTTCGACGTCATCGGTCGTGCTGGCAGTTTGCTCTCCCAAGACGCTAGTTTGCGGCGGCTCTTTGAAGCCTGGACTACCACCAGGCACTAGTGCAGGCATGGGCAAAGTAAGGGCTGGATGTGGCCCCCTGGGTGCTTACCTCAGGCCCTCCCTGTCCTCTTGGCATAAGGACACGGTGGCCCACCACATCTCAATGCCAAAAAGATGGGGGAAGGCACGTAGCAGCTGAAAGCCCTTTGGAGTGCTCTCAGCTACCGGGTGTCTCACCCTCCTCCTGGAATAAGGATGATGTGAGCGACCCCATCCTTATGCCAGGAGGATGGCTCAAGGAAGGCACGTAGTGGCTGAGAGCCCTCCGGAGCACATTCAACCACTGCCTGTTTTGCCCTCCTCCCAGCATAATGCCAATAGGACAGCCCGTGGATCGTGAGAGGAGGATCGGAAGGAGGATCGGGATAGTTGCCAAGTGTCCCACCTTCCTCTTAGCATAAGAATGGGACGAGCAACCCTGTTCTTATCCTGGGAGGACAATCTGATGACCTGGGCCCTTTCCACCCAGCGTGTGCTCAGCCCCCCTCCCTCGTGGCCCGGCCCTCCTGACTGGGCCCACAATGCAGCCCCAAGGCAAAAAAGTTTGCCCACACCTGCAGTATTGGGAATTACAACCATACCAAACTGACACGGGAACCTCCAACTACTTCCCCTGTAGATTGTGATGTATAGGCTCTTATCCCCTAAACTGATACGGGACAGGTGGTATATACTGGTTCTCCCCTGCTTGCACTTTCACTATATCTCCAGTAAGATAGTGAGCCCAAGAAACAGGAAATCGATGATTTTCAATATTTCTTTTATTGCATTCGTTGTCTAACAACAATAATCATTGGCAATAAATTTATATACACTAACAAATTAGTCACAATCTTTTTTTAAAAAAACAACCAAAGAAGAATACAAAGGGAACAAGGGGTGTTTGTTGTTGTTTTTATTTCAATGCCTCCAATAACTAGATGAAGAGAGATATTATTTTCCTGGGAAGTTAGTCATTTAAAGAAGAAGAAAAATAAGAAATCACAGGCATACAAACTCAGACAGGGCACTGCGGCATCTTCCATGCAGATGATCTGACACTTATATGTATGAAATTATATAAAAAAACAAGTTTACATGCAATTCATACATTAACCCCTCAGTACTCTTCCCCATCCCCCTTCCCTTCCCCTCCCCTCTGAATGACCAGCTAATATTTTCAAGAAGTGGGTCACAGTGCACTTTGCCAGGTTGGCTGCCTTGTGTTAGCCATATGTAACACTAGTCAATTCCCAATGAGAATGTAAACATTTTTGTAAAAGCAGAGCTAACAAGTAGTGAAGTTGACAAGGAGAAATATTCCTAAGAGTTTTCACCATGACATTGAAAAGAAAATCTTAACTTTTCATTTGGATTGGTTTCGATTGTTGGTCCCTTGTGTTCCTTTCTGGAGCATACTTCCATCCTCTTTAAGTTATTCCATTCCTACTTGATTTATACGGTAGTGAAGGTCCTTCTACAGAATCTGGAGTAGGGTTTGCTCCATTAATCTCAGTGCACTATCAAGAAGTGTTACTCCAAATGATACGTTTCATTGGAAGTTGTTCTAGAAATCCTTTCTTCTATTACGTCTATGTCATGGCAACTATTGTATTGAATCGTGAAGGTGAAAGAAGCTTGGGTTCTACAGTTCTTGTGGGTTTTTTTGGGCTATATGGCCATGTTCTAGAGGCATTTCTCCTGACGTTTCGCCTGCATCTATGGCAAGCTTCCTGAGGAAGCTTGCCATAGATGCAGGCGAAACGTCAGGAGAAATGCCTCTAGAACATGGCCATATAGCCCGAAAAAACCCACAAGAACTGAGTGATTCCAGCCATGAAAGCCTTCGACAATACATTGGGTTCTACAGCTGGAGAACACATTTCCTCCCACAGTGGCAGATGTTTCTGATATCATTTAAGTGATGTACCCTCAGTGTTAAAGGAAGGCATCCCCAAACTAGGGTCAGCATTTTGGACAGCTCCTTTAGATGATTTCTTTTAAGGTTCAGACTAACAAAGGAGCAAATTAGTGACTTCGGAAGCACTGACCATCACTCGTTTCTTTAGCCAAGTTGCGGCAGTTTTTTGGGCAAGGGGATAACTAGGCACGGGGGAGACAGAACTACAGGACTTGTTTTCCTCCAGGTTTAACTTTTATGGCAAGATGAGGATTAACAGGTAAACAGGCTATTTTAAATTAGCTGCTGTCATGTAAATACTGTGCTAGGTAGGTTCCCTTCCCCAAAGGTCCAGGTAACAGAAGTAGTCAACATATTGGGGGGAAAAGACCAAATATGAAGGACTAAATAAGATGCACACATCTTTTATCTCCACAAAGACCTATTACCTTTTCTATTTAACAGTATGTCTCACCTTGTACCCAGCGTAGTGCTGAATAATGTGTTCCGAAATGTATTTATATAACAGAATAAAAGCAACCAGTGCTTTCTTTGCTGAGGAGAGTTTAAAGTAATATTTCGTAGCTTACAAATGTTGAGAGAGGGTACCTTCTTTCTATCAGAAAAAACACCTTTTGCCCAAATGTTGGATAAATTGAACTAATTCTAATTTTGAACTACAAACATTAGAAAACACATCAGGAGCCTGTCTTGTTACATGTGTCTGACTGGGCAGCCATTGAGCATTTTAATGCATAGTAGAAACTTCACAGTATAAGAGAAAATATTGAAAGTACAAAGAATCCTAAGCATGAATTTAATAAAAGTTTTGATTAAAAATGAGCAAGACTGTGTTATCCCTGAACAGAGTTAGGGGGACAACTTCCAGCCAAAAACCAAATAATTATTGTGCACAATCAATTCTGACCTTTTACTTCTTAAGAGTCCTTTTAAATACACAACCACTGTTTCTCAAAGAATATTTTAATATTTAAGTTGACCAACTATGTAGCCAATTCAAGCTGTACTGGCTGGCATTCTCTCAGCCAGATACAATGTCCTAAGTTGGACTTAGGACGTTGTCATTGCTTCATATACTCATTTACAGTCATTGCAATACTGCCACAACCACCAATGATGAAACCCACCGTAGGAGCCCGTTAGCCATCTGAACAGCAGAGATCTACTAACAAGTGGAGCTCTGCAGAATGACATGACAGTTTTTTCCAGCCAATGAATAATACTGCAAAAAAGTCAGGACCTTATAGGGCTCCTTGCTTCTGTCTTCACAGCTGGCAAGAGGCTGCTCAGATCATCTCAGAAGTGCCCTACTCGCAAACAGCACTCTGTCACTCAGGACAGCTGACTGGCTTTTAAGGTGGGCTTTGGGGGGCACCGTGGCTATGTGCTTCATGCAGGATCTTGGCCTACATCTTTTAAGTTTTAATGACACATTTTCTTTCAGTATTTAAAAGAAACACTGGTTACACAATAAACTGAGTTTTCTTTCTTTGGGAATCTGATTTTCCAATGAATCTCACTTTGCAATCTACCATTGCAAAGAGCAGCATCGACACAAGAATTTGACTTCTCAGCCACCTAAGCATCATGAGTGGAGTTCTACACCAGTGGTTCCCAACCTTTGGTTCTTCAGATGTTTTGGACTTCAACTCCCTGAAATCCCAGCCATCTTACCAGCTGTTAGGAATTGTGGGGGCTGAAATCCAAAACACCTGGAGGATCAAAGGTTGGGAACCACTGTTCTACACACACAGGATCAAAAGTACTATCTCAAAAGTACAATCTCAAGGTTCCATTCCAGCATATAAGATCATTAGGTTGTAAGCCATGGTTTCACCAACTGTTCCAGCCAGGGACTGGCTTATGTCACTTTTTCTTTCCCCCTGACATGTCCTATAGGACCTTTTTTGTAGCTGTACTCCCAATGGGTAACCAGACTAGCACAGGACAGGAGGTGAAGGGTCTAATTCTCAACAGCTCCCGACTACATTAGCAGTACAGCGCTGGGAGTCTCAGAAAGGGAGTGTCCGACTAGTCCCAATCATGGTACTCATAGTGGAATCTTTCAATAGCCTGGACGCTGGGAATTGCTATGCTTTTCCATCTCCTAACACCAACCCTGGTTACACAATCATGGGAAGTTCTGTTACGCAAACCAAGGTCTTTTAAAGGCTCGGCTTGCAACCCAAATAGGGAGTGTACTCCCTTAGGAGTTTCTACAAGTAGGAAACTGATGAATTAGTGACTGATCCTATGTAAGGGAATAAACAGAGAAGAAATTATGGTTTGCTCTTGTCACAATTTAGGGGCAAACGTTCTTCTTTCATTTCTTTTGCTTTGTATCAGGATATGTCCTTGAAATCAGAATGCCATTGTCCACTTTCGGATGTTTAAAAATGGGTACTATATGAACTAGCAAGGAAGGAAAGAACAAGCACAGCCCCTTCTGAGGTTCTGGTGTGATGGAGGAACCAACCTGGGGTGCAAGTTTATCACAAAAGTTATACTTGTGCATAGACCGCACTGACTGTGAACAAAGAAACTGTTCACTCCAGAACTCTGAGCATTGAAGTTGACTTGGATTTCAGTGTATTTGGTGGCTTTGGCCAGAGGATATTTCCCCATCATTTATGATGCCAGCAAAAAAGATACAGTAACTTCTGCGTGGGCACCACTTCAGGGCAAAACCCCAAAACAAGAATATCCTCAAACTAAGCATCTCAGCAACATTCACATCATGATCCCTCCCATGACATCAGAATCCCACTTCCAGGTTTGTTTAAAAGAAGAGAGAAGATTCCTAGAGGTAAGATCAGAAACATTTGAAGAAATATCCATGCTGTAACTATGCCAAATATTTCACACAAAAACAGGAACAACATGAAAAATACATCCTCTTCCTATAGTGAGGAGCAGAGCACAGCCTTTTCCTGGTCTGTTCTAATTGTTTGTACACAGAAGGCAAATGTATTTTATATTTTGCTTTCTTCGGTACCAGAGAAGAGAGTCTCCCCTTCCAGACACACATGCACACTTTAAATCTGGATGGCTTTCACATTAACAACAATAACAACAACAACAAAAGTCAGGTTAAAATTCAATGCTGAGCTCTAAAATCATAATGAACAAAAACAATTAATAATTACAAGACACAAATCAAATGAGTTTTCTGCAGCATTAAAATCCAGTTTGCATGGTTCTAAACAGCAGAAATGCAAAGTCAATGTACAACGCAATATAACCCATGGGGATCTTAGAAAAACAACAGGAACAGCATAAATAATATAAAGCAGAAGGATGTGCCCATGGACAGAACTAGTATTTACATCCACTTTAAATTATCAGCATGTAAACATAACTTTTAAAAGAAAATGAGCATCTAATGCATTCACCAACTTCATAGTTAAAATAAGTACAATTCCAGTTTCTCCCAGATATTCTTCCTTGGCCTGAATATCACCACTTAATCTCCCAAATAAACCGAAGGAGCCTGGTTTATCCAAGTCTGTTGTTAGGTTTTCTGTTGTATTTGGTCCCTAAAGGAGAAGCATCTTCCAATCAATGGATCCTTGCTGCAACCCTGGTCCTTTTTTTCCTCTTGTTACACAAGCAACTGCCAAAGTGATCTGGTTATTTAAAATGAGTGTCCTTTTGGTAGATCTTTGTTGCTATGGGGATTACAGTCATTATCAGGTAGACACATGACCATGTTTCAGCTGAGAAAAAAATGTGACCTCTCATAAGAGACTTCCTTATGACATTCCAGTGTTATGAACAGCCAGGCTTTAATGGATGGTAAAGTGAAGTATTTGACTGACAGAACCCATTCATCATTTGAATCCAACCTTTCTGTCTTTTAGTGTCTACTGCAAAATGCAGCGACAATAGTGAGCCAAAATGAATTAGCCACAGAACAGATGGTTGAAGTTCAATCCTAACTGTATATTTTCAAAGTGGCCATCATTTGGCGAAATAGTGACGGATGCAAACCACCTAAAATATTTTTCACGATTTAAATAAGTGATCAAATAACTCCTAATGAAACTAATATTATTTAAACACACTCAAATTTAATTGGATCATATCCAGGCTGTTGAAGGGCTGCCATATCTTGGAAAAATCCAAATTAGGCTTCCCCCAAAGAAAAGTTGCAAATGAGCTTTCAAAGGGGTTCCAGACTCATTTCTCATGGTGACACTTTTATGCTGACTTTAGATTTTTTTTCAGTGCATTGCTGTACCAACAGGACATTACAGTTTAAAACTCGCCTTGTCTTGTCATTTCCTTTCCTGTGTTTTAAAAGTGCACATTCAGGGATATCTTTTTTCTTCAATTAGTTTTACAAGCAAGCTAAATTCCAGTTCTAGAATAACACTCACTTCAGGTAACGCCCATCTCCTTGCATCACACCACATACTAAAAGCAAACCTGGAGGTAGGGCATATTTCTCACGAAAGAAAGAAAAAAAGAAAGAAAGAAGGAAAGAAAGTAGGAAAGAAAGGAAGGAAAGATGAACCTGTTCAGTATCTGTTGGAAGTAATGAGCTCACAGCATGCTACAGAAAAGTGTCACTAGACGTGTCCCTCCTACAGGGATCAAATGAAAAACTATAGTCTGAAAGATCTAACACAAGCCAGCTTTCTTAGAGAAATTCAGCCTCATTCAAAAATCCAGAGGGTAAATGTTACTCTCTAGTCTTGTGTAAGCAAGTTAAGGCCCAGCTTTCCTTCCTGTATAATTCACACGAGCGGTGTTTGGGGGGCAGAGGGACAATGGGGGAGTTGCCTTCCCGCCTGATCATCAGGAAGACTGTTTGCTCTGCAACCAGCACATGGCATCCGCCAATGTATTGTCTCCACATCCTGAAACCACACTCTGTAGAGACAAAGCAACATCACCTCTGAGCACTGAGGTGAACTGAAGCTTATCTCCCAGAAGCATGAAATGTCAACGCCAGCAGATATTCCCCCAAAATTCAACAATAACCAATACATAGTTGACTTCAATTTACTTCTTTCGCCGGTCCATTGAAGCTTGAGATTTCCTGCTTTCTAGAGGTGGTTCAGAGTTCAAAGCAAAGCAAGCGATGTAATACTGAGTCCTACTGATAAAGAAGGGAACCAGACACAACCAGGATAATAAGAGGATATAATGGGGACGGATAAAAAGGCTGTCTGTGCTGGCCCCAAGTTGGACAGCTGGTTTGTCAGTCCCAGTCGTGAGAACACAATTCCAGTCTACAGCTGTTGGTAAAATTAAAAGTACTAGCGTGTTCTGCAACTGTAGGAAACTGTCGCTACACAGAGTTCATTTATTTGAGTTAAAACCTCAGATATGGGCACAGAACTCTGTGTAACATAGGTGGGAAAGAAACAGTACTGACTTCGAATTTCTCCCCCGAAATGTCTTCTTTCCTAAAAGAATGGATTCTTATGCATCACTGTTCAGTAGCACCCTCCGTTGAATCTGGTGACCGCTTCTCCACCTTCCGGGACTTCCTCTGAAGTTGCTCTTTTTCCTTCTTCCGAAGTTTTTCCCTTTGCCTCTCCATCTTCTCTTGAGCTCTGCGCGCTTTCTCTATAGACACTTTTGCTTCTTTGATTTTCTTTTTAACGACAGCTCTGTCCTGAGAAGATGTCATGCCAAGGGCCTAATATTGAAGAACCAAACAGCACCGGTTACATTTATGGTCAAATGTTAGGGTTTGTTTTCCTAAATAAAGATACTTTTGGTGCTATAGCTCCCAGCCCGTCTCCATCCAGTATGGCCAATGAGCATAGCAGATGGGGGATTCTGGGGGTAGTAATCCAAAAGATTAACTTTTCCAAGCTCTAGAGATAATAAGGATAGGTTGCTTACCTGTACTTGTGGTTTTTTGAGTGGTTCTCTGTGAATTCACAGTTCTGGAGTATACTGTGCCTGCGCAGGCTCCATCAGAAGCTTCCCAAGCTGGATTGTGTTGGAGCATGTAAAAATCAGTTGGTGAGTGTGTTAACTGAAAAATGCAAAGCACAAAGCTGATTGGTTGGGCTACGCCCAGGAGCTAGCCCAGCCTGGGAGTTTTGGCAACAGTTACATGTTTAAGAGTTCTGTGCAGGAGCTTGTCAAGAAAGTTTGTATTTTTGCTTCTTGGCTGCTGGAAGGAGATTTCTCACATGGACACCTAAGGACCATATGAATATCTCAAAGGATGTGTAAGTCAATGCAACTGTTCTTATGACTATATGTATGTTGCTCTGTATAACAAAAGAATAAACACTTTATTCTTTACTGATAATCTGTGTGGCATACTTTTTCTCTAACAAGACAGTATGTGGATTGGTAGACGTGAACTACAAGCGGTTTCTCATTCCGTCACAGACTGAAAATCTACAGCTTGGGAAGCTTCCAATAGAGCCTGTGCAGGCACAGTATACTCTATAAGTGTGAATTCACAGAGATCTCAAAGAAGAATGTCTGTTACAACAAAAAACTGTTTGGCAGAATCCTATTATGATCATCATGAACCACAGAGTCAACACTAAAGCTATATTTCCTTATATTAAAATAACCCAAAATACAATGATAATAGACAGCACTGTGACTACCTTCCGTAGATTCAAAGACACATCACCTTTCCTGGGAATGTCACTGAATGATTACAGGGTATGACATATCACTGACTATGGATAAATACATATCACATACATATAGTGTAAGATGAAGTGATATAACCATATTTCCTAATTATTTGTTCAAGAACACAAAATGTTCTGTTTCCACTTTTAAAAAAGCCTGTGATGTTTTAAGCTTTTCCCATTAAAATTGTCCATTAACTTGTAACATCTAACACTATATACCCAGGAATTCATTTTCAGAGCTAATGATGTATCCAATGTTTCCAACTGTTGCTATATCATCTGTTTAATCAAAATTTCTAGCAATCTACACTATCCCCATTATTTATTACAGCCGCTCTGGGCCTCCTCTATGACGTAAAGATTTTTTGTTTTGTTTTTATATGTGTTCCTGTAACTGATTCCCTGATCACACACAAAATTCAGAATCTTTTTCCCAAGACTGAGAAATAATTACCTTAAGTTTACTACCATCCATCTGAAGGAGGCGCTCTCCGTTTATGTTTTGGGCACTGAATTCAGGAACATACTGTTCTAAATTCAGGCTCATTAACCAGTTGGAAACCTGCTGCACACTCCATTCTTGAAGGGCCCAATTTGGGGACAGATTGTGTTTGGGAGATTGTCCATCATCGAGGATCTGCAAGAAAAGGATTTCACAGTGCAACAATCAGGGCAAAAGTGTTTGTTATGATGGTATAACAATATTGTAGGGGTATGAGCAGCAGGAGGACTCAGCAGGAGGGCACTTCCCAGCACCATTTGGGGGCAAGTTACTCCATCCAACCATCCCACCATAATATAGCTGGCTTATTGAATCACTTAAGGTTCTTTATCTTAACAAGACCATCTATCTACCAAGTAACCCACCATTATATGACGAAGTTGGCTTGTTGAATCACTAGGTTCTTAGCAAGACTATCCATCCATCCATCCATCCATCTACCAACCAACCAACCCACCATAATATGACAAAGTTGGCTTGTTGAATCACTTTAGGTTCTTTATCTTAGCAAGACTATCCATCCATCTACCAACCAACCATAATATGACAAAGTTGGCTTGTTGAATCACTTTAGGTTCTTTATCTTAACAAGACCATCCATCCATCCATCCATCCATCTACCAACCAACCAACTAACCAACCCATCATAATATGACAAAGTTGGCTTGTTGAATCAGTTTAGGTTCTCTATCTTAACAGGACCATCCACCCATCTATCTACCAAACAACCAACCCATCATAATATGACAAAGTTGGCTTATTTAATCACTTTAGGTTCTTTATCTTAACCAGGCCATCTTGTGCATACCATAATCCTAATGTATCCTTTAAAAAAAGAATAAGGAGGCTGTTTTCATTAAACTGTCTCCTACTTGCAGGTACTGCACTGAATTTCATCTCCATACTGACAACTGAAGATGATTCACAATTTAGTTTATTATCAACCATGTGCTGATTTGAATCAAGCAAATATGACTCAGTAAAGCTGTCATTTGAATGTGCCTTCTTGTGGTGAAGGATGGGATTTAGCAGATCAGGGTTGCCTGGAATTAGTCTATTCCAACCGTCACCACAGGAAGGTCCTTCATAGAGGCATATTCACATTTCAAAGGCTCGCATGAATCACATATGATAATTCCTCAGTTAAGTTGCAGAAATGTCACGCTGCACCTTTCCAAACTATCCAGGAAATCATGCCTTCACCTCACACCCAGCAAATATGAATCTAGCAATCTGCTTATTAAAACACACAAAAATGTATCTAAAGTTCCCCCAAATCTGGCACCCTGTTTCCCATAATGGCTAAGCAGATGCTACTGGGAAGTCCACAAGCAGGATAGGCAGGCAATAACCTTCTCCCACACTGCTGCCCTTTGGTAATCATTATTCAGTGGCTTACTGCCTCCAAACTTGGAGAGCACACATAGCAATCAAGACTTTAATAGACTCATTCTACACAAAATTTGCATAAACTTCCATTAAAGCCCTCTAGGCTACCCTAGATTCATTTGTCTTGTAACAGCAAATTCAATAATTATTTACTATAAATAGGCAATCAACGTGTAGTGCAAGAGTAATTATAACAGCATAGCAAGTAGTAGCATAGATGATGGTATACTGGCAGGGGTAAAGGCTGGTGTAAGGGGTTGTAATGGTTTCATAAAGCACCAAATGACTTTGGCCATAGCTTCCTTTGTTCTGCCTTACATCTACCACCAATCTGGACCTCTGATTTCAACAAAATAATTTCTGTACACAACCAAAAGAGCTTTCAAATAAAATAAATACTAGGAGGTTGTGTTTGAGGATGTGGGAAGACACCACTGACATTCATTCTGAACATCTATTGTACAAAAGAAAGGAAAATTTGAAGAAAAGCAAGGGAAATTTGAAAAAAGAAGTGACTATATACTCTCTGTACAAATCTCTGCAAAACAGCTCACCTGATACCTGATTGGTACTCATTCAAGTTCCCCCCTCCTCATTTGTCTAAAGTTTTAAAACCTGAGCCTAGCTTTATTGATTTATTCCTGAACTTTTAATGCAGTTTTGCACATTCTGTTCAAAAATCTGCAATTCTGTGTTAGCATAAAAATCCTGGCCTGAATTCTTTTGTTGCTTGTGCTAATTGGAGTAGACTCACTTAAATTAAATAACTGTGTTGAATTACTCTATTCTATTTTGGGCTGATCAACACAATTCTATTCTCAATAAACAAACAAACAAATAGCCCATTGTTGTCTCACCTCATCATCAATCATATCCAAGCTCTGAGTCAGCAGTAAAGAAATGGGAAAAGAAACATTGTGAATAAAAATACAGAATACGTGACCAAAATGGAGTAGCCATCTGTTTGCTTAAACTGGAACACCAATGTATATCTTTAAATTTAAACCTGGCAAATAGCAATAAAGTCTGTTTTACTTACTTGTGTAGTCAAATCATTTGAATTTATCTGACTATGGCTGGCATTCTCTTGCGTACCTATCTCTGCATTGGCCAAAGCTCTCCTGCAACTCAGGGTGGTTCCAGACAGTGGTAAATCCGTGCCAACCCAGTTTAAACCATGCCAACCCGGGACAGGGCAGACCGTGCCAACCCAGGACAGGGCAGACTGTAGTTTGCACACCGGCCCCAAAAGTCCACGCCTTTTGCAGGCATTGTCTACATGTCCTCCCAGTACCTACTGGGAGGACAGGGAGACAGCCCCCACCCACTCCCCAAACCCCTTTAAAAAGTGATTGAAAAATAAAGTAACTTAAGCAGTTGCCATTAAACTGTTGTCAGAGCTCTCGTCTCTCCTCACACTTAGGAATGATGTGCCAGGAATAGCGGTGGGGTGGGGGTGGGAGAGCAATTTTCCTCCTCGTTTCTCCTAGCATGTCATTCCTAAGTGCCAGAAGAGGGCTGGCAACAGGAAAATACTGGCACCGGAAATTATTTTCTTTTTTAAAGGGTTTTTTGGAGAGGTTAGTGCCCTTGCAGTTTTCCGGGCTGATTTAGCCCAGAAAAACACGAGACTGCTGTCTGAACTGTCCAGGACTTCTAAAGGGGCAGTAAAGACAGCAGACATAGTGGGTTCAACCCACGCCTTCCAAGAAGGCACAGGACAAACCCACTATCAAATTATCCCAGCGCAAAGCATGGTTTTCCTGTTATGAGCCAAAAGCATTTGTAATTTTGTGGGCCGTTGTTTGGACGTCCCCTGCGAATATCCTGGAGAGCACATATTTTGTGACCTGTCTTGATGAGCTCTGAGGCCCCTTCTACACTGCCCTTTATCCCAGGATCTGATCCCAGATTATATCCTTATCCCAGATTATTCCCGTTCAAAGCGGAAAAACTGGGATCAGATACTGGGATATAGGGCAGTGTAGAGCCAACCTTACTGAAAATGTCCCGAAGCTGCCTCACACTACCATTCCATGCTTTGTAGAGAGCTGGAAGAATTACAAAAGCATTCACCCATGAGTATGTATGTATCTTCAGGTTGCCTGTTGATTTATGGTGACTCCATCAATTTTATAGGGCTTTCTTAATTCTTGAAATGATTCAGATGTGGTTTTGCTAATTTATTTCTCTGAAATATAGCCTACAGCACCAGGTATTCGCAATCTCACATTCGAGTACTAACCAGGCCTGGTCCTGCTGAGCTCGCATGATCAGACAGGGTCTGGCACCTTTAGGGTCAGATGCAAAATTATGATAAGATTAAGATCTATGGGAGTCCTTAGGGAACAGGTTTCAGTGAAGATGTAATAGTTTTATGTTTGAATATGGGATTGCAGAAGCTTTTCAGTAACTTGACCAGGGGAATGGCTCAGTCTAGCAAAGGTCCCCATGTTGATATTGATAAGAGGACATTGGATTACACAATTGTTTTGTGCAGGAGAGAGAAAGACACCATGATGGTCCCAATGGCTGAAAGAAAAAATAAGCAAGCTACAGTTGTGAGTTTGGATTTCTTCCTAGGTTGAAGTGACTGAAGCTTCCAGCAGAGGTCACTGCTCAACCTTAGAAGCATAAAGTGTCCACATAGATATAACATCTGAAAAGGATTTGGGGAGGGTGTTGAGGGGCCCTGGGGGGGGGGGGGGCTTACAATCTACAGATCACATTTTCCTCATCTATAGGCAGCAGGATTCATGACCAGGTATACCATTTATCAATTATGCAATTCCTCTGGGAAGTATTTGATAGGACTTCTCATATGAAAAAGTTTCCTGTCAGATAAGGAGAAGGTTCATCTAGAACAGGCATGGGAAAACTTTGGCCCTCCAGGTGTTTTGGACTTCAATTCCCACAATTCCTAACAGCCTACCGAAGTCCAAAACACCTGGAGGGCCAAAGTTTGCCCATGCTTGATATACCCAGTACTATGTTTTCTATCAGAGATGGGGAACATGTGGCCTTGGTTGATAATGGCTGATGGAAGTTGCACTCCAAGAACATCTAGACAGCTACATGTTCCTAACCCTATCTGTCTGTCTGTCTGTCTGTCTGTCTGTCTGTCTGTCTATCTATCTATCTATCTGTCTGTCTATCTATCTATCTATCTATCTATCTGATTTCAAAAAAATTAAATGTAAGTAGTGTTGCTCTGGTCATTGATTAAAAAAAAGATTCTGTGATTATACACTGCCTGCTTTCATGTAGGCTCTCACTATCTTTTGTTCAAATTCACCAACAGGTGGGCAGCTTCTGATCATGAAGAGCAGTCCTGAAAGTCAATTTTTCAAAGCAATCTCCAGCCAGGAGCTTTTAGGTCTATTAAACAGTCCACAAGGAGTACAGGAGTTATTTCTTGCTACATGATTAGCTCATAGGTAAAATACCTCATCTGATGATAGTGCTATGGAATGAGACATTCCTGGGGTTTTCGGTTCTGTTCCTAATCCACTCAGATCAGCGGAACTAGTGCTGCTTGGACTGAAGTCATCATTGAAAGTTAAGTTCTGCAAAGAATCAAAGACTATCATGAAACATAGTGGTCAAAAGAGAAAATGCTTGCAAGTCACAGGTGAATCTGCTCTATCTTGCTAATAAGGTATACCCCTGAAAGGACTGTTACATTTCACGTGTCTGGATAGAGAACACCCTATATACCAGGCATGGGCAAACTTTCTAACTTGGGGGATGCATGGTGGCCYGGAGCGGGATGGGTGTCCAGAAGGGAGGGCGTTCTCCCCAAGCTCCCTCCCAGCTCTTTCCTCCCCTCTTTTGGRGGCAGAAAGTGAAGGAAAGATGGGAAATGTTTGGATCCCATTAGGGTTGGTTTTGGTCAGGATGAAATGGTGGACAGGAGACAAGTTATCAATTAGATCCCATATTGCCTACTCCTGATATAGAATCCTAGAGCTGGAAGGGACCCCCAAGGGCCATCCAGTCCCACTCCCTGCCATGCAAGAAGGTACAAGCAAAGTACTCCTGATAGACAGGCTCTGTGGAAAAGCCTCCAGAGAAGGMGATTCCACCACACTCCGGGGCAGCCTATGCCACTCCCCAACAGCTCTTATTCTCAGGAAGTTTTTCCTTATCTTTTCAGTCGAATCTCTTTCCCTGCCATTTGAAACCATTGCTCCCTTGTGCCCTGGTCTCTAGAGCAGCAGAAAGTCAGTTTTCCCACTCCTTAATGGGACACCCTTATAAATCTTGAAATATGGTTCTCATGCTCGCTCTCTACCTTCTCTTTTCCCAGCTAAACATTCCCCAGGAGGAAAGAAGGAAGGAAAAAGAGAAGGAAGAAAGGGAGGAAGAGAAGGATGGAAGGAAGGTAGCATGGAAGGGAATGGAGGGAGGGAGGAAAGAGAGAAGGAAAGACAAAAGGGAAGGAAGGAGAAAGAGAGAGGGGAAAGGAGGGAGGAAAGAAGGAAGAAGAACAAAAGGGTAGAAGGGAAGGAAGGAGGAAGCGAGAAAGAGGGAGGTAAGGAAGGAAGGAAAGCAAGAAGGAAGGGTTTTTTTCCCATGTCAGGAGCAACTTGAGGAACTGGAAGGAAGGATACGATGGTGAGAGAGAGGAGGGTCTGAGAAAAGAATCCAAGGGGCCAAATCCGGTCCCCAGGCCTGGGTTTGCCCATACCTGCTATATACTCATTTATAAGTCTAGAAATGTATACAAACATCAGCTCCAAAAACCTGTGTTGACTTATTCACAGGTCAATGTGACTGAGTATTATATAGTAATACTTTTTTTTTTTAAAGGAACCATCCCCTTATCTGAGTAGAGTGACAAAAGGCATTTTTGAGTGTCTGGGAAAGAAAATGGCAGCAGTGGTGCCAGAAGCTGATGCCCTTCCCAAAGCGGCACTTGCACTTTCTAATTTAACCATAGGTCATATAAACATTTTGGCTTCTAAGCCTGCCCTTGGCTTGATGTCAACCTTTTTTCGTGTCAGTAGCGTCTTGAGAAACTGCAAGTTACTACTGGTGTGAGAGAATTGGCCATCTGCAAGGACGCTGCCCAAGGGACACCCAGATGTTTGATGTTTTACCATCCTGTGGGAGGCTTCTCTCATGTCCCCCCATGGGAAGCTAAAGCTGAGATGATAGTTCACCCCGCTCCCCGGATTCGAATTGCCAACCTGTCGGTCAGCAGTCCTGCTGGCACAAGGGTTTAACCCACTGCACCACTAGTCGAATTATACACAAGTATATACAGTATGTGAAGGTGAAAATGGATTCTGTAAAGTGGGGAAAATATTTATTATGGAGGCACTTTAACAGTTAGTTGAGTTATTAGGGGCAATGTATCCAGGCTCTATTTTATTCGGTCTATTCTAATAATTTTTGTTCTCTACTTATTAAGGCTGTTTAGATCAAGTGACATGCTAAGTACATTAGTTATCTCCTTTCCCTCAACAAAATATACTGAGAAAAATATCATTATTTCATTATAAAATACCATTTTGAGCCAGTGTAAGAGTACCCCCATTATAGAAAGAATGTTCTTTCTTTTTCTTTTTTTGGATTGGTGTCAAAGTGAGTTCTAGAGTTACTGCTCCTATTTCTTACAGTAATCTTCTAAATTATCAAACAATTTAATTTTGGCTATCAAACTTTTTGAAAGACAGGCATTACTTTACACTCAAAACAGAGACACAAGACAAACATTTTTGCCTGTAACCAATGCAATGAACAAAGCATTACATTTTCTAGCAAAAAATAAATAAATAAATAAACAACAAAGGAGCAATTATTCAACAAAATACTTTGCGACTTGTACACTTGGCAAGATTAATCACATTTGCCATTAGAGAAATTCCACAATGGCATATATCAGGCTTGAAACATAATGCAGTTAGACCAACAGAAAAAAACAAACCCAAAGATCAAGACACTTGTGAAGCTTTTGAGGTTCATTAAAACAACCAAGCTACATAACATTTGAAAAACAGCAATGGGGAAATGCAAACAATACATGACTATAAATCTGCTCTGAAGGTGGAATTTAAAAGGTGAACTGCAGAAAGAAAAGGATTAATATAGTAAATTAAACATCTGGGCACAACATGCTCCACGTATACATTGGATAACCCTTCTGGCTAAAATGCAAATGAAATCTTTGAAGTCAATATTCATCAAGAATTACTTGATAGCAAACTCCTGTTAAGTGACATTTGTAAACACACACATGTCACCAGCGAATCATGACACTTTTATTGCACAGGAAGCTTCTTTGAAGAAAACATATGTAGTCCAAATCATGAATGTGTCCTTGAAATTTAGATGATGCCATCTTATGTTTTGGGGCCTCCAACACTGGGCTTTGGGTCAAGTGACCTGTCATATGAAAAGACTTCCCAATGCTCCCCCACCACAATTTTACTGAAATGATGTAGATGTTCATATTACGGAGTAGAGTAAGGTGATTATTTCATGACGTATTGGTGGACAAAGTGCTCAACTGTTGTTCCCTGCGCTCTTCCAAAGTTGCTGTCAGACATAAGAGGGGAAAATTAGCTTTCTTTGCAACATTTGTTCAGAGCAGATTCAACCGTACCTTCTTCAGAGAGCCTGATTAGACCAAGATCACCCAAAATACCACCTCTCCACATCCCAAAAATTTCCTCATATCTGAAATTATCTATTTTTCATGACAAACCTTCCATGGAAGGGTTATTATCTTCAGTAGTACTTTACACATGCCCCATTAACCTTACAACACTTGAGTTCTTCTATATCAGTGTTTCCTAACCTTTTTTTGAAAAGGGACCACTTGACCTGGGAACACTCTCCAAAATTAGTACCAAAAGGGTTACAAATTAGTTTTTGGTCAACTTTAAATTCGGTTTGGTTATTTGGGGTGTTGGTTCAGAAAATTGCATTGGACAGACCACATCAGGTCTAGTTTTGAATACAGAACATATGCCATCCAGTAGTTGCCATCTGCTCGCCCACAGAAAACCATATTTAATAATCTAGAGCTGATGTGGTAGTAGTAATCTTTCATGGGTAGTCAGCCTCTCCCCTCCCAACATAGCCATTGTCTCAGCACTATAAGAGGGTTTCGTGAAACCAGTCACTCTGGTTGTCACATGGTTTCGAGGCAATGTTGTAGTAACGGCGACGCTGCCGACCATGTTTTGTTCTTGTGGACCACTGGTGGTCCATGGATCACAGGTTGAGAACCACTGTTCTATATGATCAGGTGTTAAAAATAACACCCTATCACAATGACAACCTGACAAAAGTTTTGCCCAGGTTTTCAGCTTTCATTTTTGCCCAGAAACATGGAGAACGGGAGAAAGGGGAAGAGACATAAGGAGAAAATAAGGCATCCTTGCCAACATGTGATCGATACAGTATAATATCTGGGGATGTTACCACGGGCTGCACTGCTCATCCTTTTTCAGAAACATGAGACCCAAGCCAAAGTGTGACTAAGTACAGTGTTATGGCAAATGTGTAATTGGCGTAGATTCATCTTAAGAAGCTATATGATCTTAATTTCCCAGACAACCAACTCTTGTATCAAAATACAGTTGCATCAGTGAGATTCTATCCAACTTTTCCTATTTTAGGAAACAAAGTTTAAGTGTGTTGATTACATTTTAAACTCTTTTACCACACTATACTATCTAATTGCTTTTTGAAAAAACGTTTGTATTGTGCTTTTTTTGGACCCCCTGGTGGCACACGGGTTAAACCGTTGAACTGCTGAACTTGTTAACAGAAAGCTTGGCAGTTCCAATCCAGGGAGCAGGGTGAGCTCCTGCAGTTAGCTCCAGCTTCTGCCTACCTATCATTTCGAAAACATGCAAATGAGTAGATCAATAGGTACCACCTTGGCAGGAAGGTAACAGTGCTCCATGCAGTAATGCTGGCCACATAACCTTGGAGGTGTCTATGAATAACACCGGCTCTTCGGCTTAGAAATGGAGATGAGCAACACCTGCTAGAGTCAGACATGACTAGACTTAGTGTCAGGGGAAACCTTTACCTTTACTTATTGTGCTTTTTAAACCATGACTAAAGTGTAGGATTATTAGCCACCATTGAGTTCCCAAGGGGAGAAAGGTAGGGCATAAACAAAATTAATAATAAGAAATAATACTAAAAGATGGTGGTGTTTTGCTTTGGCTTTTTATCCTTTCCTTTGAAACTGTGCTTTACCTGCTTTACTCAAATGAGATGCTTTTGTATTTTGTTAGTAGTGGCACAAACATAAGCATGAGATTGTATTGCTGCTGTTTTGATGTGGTAGAATTATTTCTTATTGATTCTGTTTGTTTGCTCCCAGAAGTACAATTTATACCTGTAATTGCCCAGGCTGTACGTGTGTTTATATATGTGTCTGTGTGCATATATATGTGTATGCATGTCTGTGTGTAAAATCACACAGCCGAATATAAAACAGAGAAAGAGTAAAGATGGGCAATGTGCCCATGAAAATGCAGCTGCCATGGACACAGTCTACTGAGGAACAAACCTGTGCAAACCTCATTAATATAAAAGGAAGTCAAATAACAGGGTTATGTTTCAACAGAGCTTGCATTGAAGATGCCGGAGATAGCCTCAGGTTGAGCCATATGCCACCTGAGCTGTGATTTCAGAGCAAGAGAATAAAAGCTTTTCGATTTCCATTTTCCAGTCTTGAGACACTCATAAAATATCTTGTGGAGATGGACACGGTAAATATGTGGAGCATGTCGCAGGGCTGTACAAAATATTATTCGCAGACTATCATGCCAAAAGCAACATGCATGTTAACAAAAAGATAGGACCAACACACATTTGAAATAATTCAATTTTCTTAGTTCAAAGAACTTCAAAATGGAATTAGAGGTCACACCCAAGATGCCTGACAGGAACATCTTGTCTTGTGGGGAGGAGCAGGAAGAAGACAGAGGACTCAGAACTATGACACTTCAACATTTGTCAATATTTCGATCAAATGTGTCAAATGTTATCTTATAATCAACCTGGCTGTCAAACCAACCTATTTGCATTCAGATCAAAATACTTACTTGCTCTCTCATCTTTTGAGAATAATAATGCATGCTTATAAAAGTGGCACCTTATAAAAATATAGCTAAATCCAGGGGTGTTGGTGCAATTAGAGGCATGAAGACTGGAATTGAAAGAAATATAATGAAGTTAGATGGTAATGTAACTTTGGAGATTAGGATTGTCTGGGGAGGTCCTGCTCTCGGTCCACCTCCTTTGCAGGTGCGTCTGGTGGGAGGAGAGACAGGGCCTTCTCAGTGGTGGCCCCTCAGCTGTGGAACTCCCTCTTCAGTGATATTAGAGCAGCTCCCTCAGTCCTGGCCTTCAGAAAGAAAGTGAAAATCTGGCTCTGGGGAGATTAACTATAGTCAAATAATAGCTACGGAATTATGTGCAATGACTTTTGGAATGGCCCCAGATTACGATTGTGGATGGCATGATTTTTAATGGTGATTGCAATGTTTTATATGTTTTAATGTGCATTTAATTTTAATTTTTAAATCTTTAAATTAATGCATTTTAATGTTTGTTGTTTAAAGGCATTTAATAGTTGCCTAGAGAAAGGTGGGATACAAATAGAGTAAATACAAGGGGTATTTTTTAAGTAAGGTCCGTTTTGTTGTAGACACTAGTAGTTCACGCGCATACCGCAACGAGCGCATGCGTCGTGTACCGGCATGCCTCGGGAACAACTGTGCTCAGTTTCCGCTCTGTAGCTAACCTGTACGGTTCTGTTCTGTGCTTTTAAAATGTTTAAGACTATCAACTCACCCGCTGCATGTTAGGTTCGCTCAGTGATACGGTTTTTGTCAGCAAGGAACCTGCCTGCTGCAGAAATTCATCGACAGATTTGTGAAGTGTACAGTGATACTGTTATGAGTGAAAGCAAAGTGCGTAAGTGGGTACGACAATTCAAAGATGGCAGTGACAACGTCCATGATGAGGACCGCTCCGGTCACCCTTCTTTGATTACAGACAATTTGGTTATTGGAGCAGTCGGCAAGTTTTTATGAAGAGGGTATTTTAAAATTGGTTCAGAGGTATGATAAGCGTTTGAACAAACTTGGCAACTATGTCGAAAAATAGAGTGAAGTATGTACTTTCTGAAAATAAATTTACTTTTTTGAAATAAACTTTCGTTGTGTACTTATGTTCCAACGGACCTTACTTAAAAAATACCCCTCGTAAATAATGCAGATTGATCTGTATTATATGAGTCTACACTGCATTCTGGAACTGAATTCTATGGCAGTATGGATGGGATTGCAGTCAGCTTTCAGAACCTACCAGCCCTTCCGTATTTATGATGATGTATTTATTACATCTAGATGTTGTTCTGCTATGGATCTGAAAGCAGAGAGGGTTTGCGGATAGTCTTCTTTCCAAGACTAGTATTTCATAATTTGCTTAGTAAGCCGAGCTTATTATGCAAGTTCGTTAAAAGCCTGAATAAAAATTGTACGACTTTAACAAATATGTTGACATCGTATCTGCAGTGAACCTTGTTGTTTGTTCCTACATCAGAAATCAAAGAGACTCCAAGGAAGAGGGAGGAACCTCATGATGTTTATGTTGTACAATTGATATGTTGCTTATGGTTACCATTCACTGGGTCCTTCTTTTTCCAAAAAAAAATATATATATCCAGCAACATGAACCTCCAGCCATTGGATTTTGAAGGTACTTGGTATTTTTCTACCTTGGACCCCTTTTTAGCTGGGCTTAGGTTTTCGGAGGAAGGATCGGTTGAACTGGTAGGTGAAGGCAGATTGCTGGAAGAATTGGATCTCTTGCTGCTCTCTCCATGCCACGTAAATGGCATAGTGTTATGTGGGAGAGAAGTAGACCGCTTGATTAAAGAGGGTCGACCTGCTGAAAACTCCAACAGCTCCTTAGTTGTCCTGTTTAACAACAAGTAGGAAGGTTAGCATTTAAGACTCTGAAGAAAGTACAGACAAGAAGAGACAAGAAAAGGCATAAGTAAAGATGGATCCACCACCCAATCTCGACTTCCCTGTCTATTTCCCCACTTTTTATTATTCTTACATCTGTTCAACTATTTGAATAAATAAGTCTTACTTTGAAAACATTTTCCTAATATATGCATTTTGCAAGATTCCCCATACAAAATAACTATTTTTAAAACAGTTCCTTCACTAACAATAGACCCATGTTGGATGCCAAGACACACACTGTTTTCCAGAGAACTGCAATGTTAATAATGAAAGATAATCTGATTCCAACATGCATATTGAATTGTATATCGTGTGGTAAGTGAACCAAACAAAATTCTTACATACAAAATATTACAAGCCATGCTAATTACTATACTGTCTTTCAGTATCAATTTATTGAACAGTTTCTGCTTTACTTGATTTGATTTAATTTTTCTTTATTTTGGCTGCACACGTGCAGAAGAGATGTCTATTAATAAGATGAAATATATGGCCAGGCATGGGTAAACCTTTTTGCCTTGGGGCCGTATTGCGGGCCCAACCCAGAGGGCCAGGCCAGGAGGGAGGGGGGCCAGGCACACACTGGGAGGGGGGGGAAGGGGGGCCAGGGCAAGTCCTGGGTCATCCTCAGGTTGTCCTACCAGCATAAAGATGGGACTGCTCACCCCATCCTTATGACGGGAGGAAGGCAGGACACACAATGACAGCACCCAATCCTCGGGCTGTCCTCTTGGCATTATGCCGGGAGGAGGGAAAGTCAGGTGGTAGGTGAGAGTGCTTAAGGAGGCTCTCAGCCACCACGTGCTTTCCTTGAGCTGTCCTCCTGGCATGGGGCCGCTCACACTGTCCTTATGTTGGGAGGAAAGTGAGATGCACGGTGGCTGAGAGTGTTCCAGAGGGCTCTCTTCTGCTATGTGCCTTCCTCCCCCATCTTTCTGCCATAAGGACACAGCAGGCTCTGCCAAGTGAACAGGGAAAATGAGGAAGCCATGAGGTAAGCACCCAGGGGGCTGCACCCGGCTCCTGGGCCTTAGTTTACTGGCTCCTGGGTCTTAGTTTACTCATGACTGTATATGGCCATTCACAGTGATTGAATATGTTACTAAACACAGTGTAGGGAGAGTCAGCTTGTAATCCTTTTCTATTCAGGAACTACATATTCCGTGCTTGATATAATAATATATGACAGATTCCTGGTCATTATTTTGTTACCATAACATCTTTCATATATTAGATTTGGATGGTCATTCATTGTGCCTGAATAGAATGCCAACAGGAACATTACAGCAGAGCTAATGAACTGGTTTTTACTGGGGAGAGAAAACTAGCTCTGTTCCTAGGGCAAGTATCACTTTGACTCACAGGTTTGGCTGCTCATTCATAATAATCCAGAGGATATTGGAATATTGAAAATGAGTTGTCTAAAAATATCTGTCATTTGAGATCTGTCTTGAGATTTCAACAGTTAATTGATATCTCTCTGCAGCCCATTAAATCTGATTTCTGTCATAAGATTGAATCACCTACGATTTTACATAACTAAATGGAACAAAATTGGCATGTCGAGAACAACAGCAAGCAGGTAGATTTCAGTAACGGCTGCTAGAAAAAAGAACATCAATTTATCAGGTAACTATTTCCTTTCCTTTTGGGCTGCAAAGGCAGTAAGAGATTAGTCTCCAGTGAAAACTATTAGAAGCTAACTTCTACATAAAACATCATTAGGATCGGCATCACCAATTAAGATTTCATTTCATTTAGTACCTTCATACGCAAACCTGTATTGTATTACCAAGTTAGTGCTTCTGAAACTCTAGCTAAGGCCCTATCTACGCTGCCATAGAATGCAGTGTAGTTGACTGTGTTAGATGAATCGACACAATTAATCAGTGTAGGTTTTCTGTATTCAAACTAGGCAGCTGCTGCAACAGTTTAATTGACTGCATTGTGTTATTTCTTTTTTATTACCATTTTTACAACTGTATTTCTGACAAAGTTCTGTTTGCTAGGGGCAGTTCTACACAGACACTAGAACCTAAGTTGGAAATGGATTAAAAGTAAATGGTTTCACTGTACAGCGCCTACACAAACACGCCAGGAATGGTGGACCATGTTATTCACTAATTGCATATTGGAACTGAACCCAAGAACTGTAGCATCTGCTAGACAACTACTGGCAAATGCAGAATTGTTTCCTCTTAATCAGACATGCCGATGTGCTGCAGATGATCAGAGTATTTCTTAGTTTCAAGCCCTGCAAGGGACATTCTCTGATCGAGTTTGTTCCAGACTTTCTGTTTCTGACTTAAAACATGCTGCAGTGCAATTTGGAGGTGTAAATTTTGTGGACACCCCCACCTCCAGTCCACTTTGAACTGGATTACAGTGTCTGTGTAGAACTGTTCCCAGACTTTCTCTACGTCAGTGGTTTCCAACCTTTTTTGACCAGGGACCACTTTGACCAGGGACCACTCTCCACCAGTTTTTGGTCAACTTGAGATTCAGTTTGGTTATTTGGGGTGCTAATTCAGAAAATTGCATTGGATAGATCACATCAGCTCTAGTTTCTGATATAGAACATATGCCATCCAGTAGTTGCCATCTGCTCACCCACAGGAAACCATATTTAATAATCTAGAGCTGATGTGGTAGTAGTAATCTCTCTTGGGTAGCAGCCTCTCTTCTCCTGACATCCTCCTTGCCTCATCACTATAAGAGGGTTTCGTGAGACCAGTCGCTGTTGTTGCTGCATGATTTCGAGGCAAAGGTGAAGTAATGGTGAGGCCGCGGACCATTTTTTCATTCTTGCGGACCACTGGTGTTCCATGGACTACAGGTTGGGAACCACTGCTCTAAGTAAACACACATCATATTGCTCTCTAAGTAACTTACACAATGGATGATATTTACAGCAAAATCTTATGTATGCCTATTCTAAAATGAATGTCTCTTAGGGTGAATCAACACTGTAGAATTAATCCGGTCTAACACCACTTTATCATGGCTCAATGCTATAGAATCATGGGAATGTAGTTTACAAGGTGTTTTGCCGGCCCTGCAAAAGAGTGCTGGTGCCTTACCAAGTTACAAATCTCAGGACTCCATCGAACTGAGTCACAACAGTTAAAGTGTTACCAAATTTCACTAACTCTACAGTGCTGCTGCATCAATACTTCAATAAAACTAAAACTCCATCTACCCTGCGGCATAATCCAGTTTCTGAATCCAAATTATATGCTTTGAACTGCATTATAGGGCAGTGTAGATTCATATAACCCGGTTCAAAGCAGATAATATGGATTCAGAAACTGGATTATATAGCAGCGTGGATCCAGCCTTAGTCTCAGCTAAATGTGAACAGAACTGTAACCTTCAAAACACTTAGCCCAAGCAGAGGCAAAGAGAATCTATATGTATAGTTCACGTATATTCTGTGACACAAATGGCCGTATAATACATGTTATTCGATATGACCTATTCCGATTAGACTGGATGGCCCATGTGGGCTCTTCCATGATTCTATGATGAGCTACTATATTGCATCCATGCTGTTTGCTCATACCTGCAGCCAGTCGAGACCCTAACTGGTTCTCTCTCTCTTCGCTTCTTGCCCTTGTTTGAACTCTTTCTCAAGGGAGCCCTATGAGGGGAGAAGCAATAACAGTGTCCACAAAGTACTAAACACAATTTTAAAATGGTTCACCTAGATTAATGAGAAATCAAGATAAAGAAAAGCTTACCCAAGATCTACAAATGTTTGCTTTATTTTCCTTATATGCCCCAGAGAAGGGCTGGATGCTCTTGGTGACTGGATACCTGTGGCACCATCTAGGACATATTTGTACACGAAAAACATAGTTCATTATAGCCATGTGTATGTCATCATTAAAGAAGAAATTTTATTTTGGATAGACATTAGGTACAGATAAAAACATGTTTCAATCAGCACAGAAAACCACGAGGGCAAGAACCCCCTCCCCAAACCCTCAAACCCCTTTAAAAAAGAATATAACTTATGGGAGCGGCATTTCCCTGCTGCCGACCCTCTCCTGGCTCTTAGGAATGGCACACCAGGAGAAGGGAGGGAGGAGGAGGAAAATTGCTCCTGCCACATCATTCCTAAGCGCCAGGAGAGGTTCTGCAGCAGGGAAATAATGGCACTGTAAGTTATTTTCTTTTTGAAAGGCTTTTTGGGGGAGTTCGGGGAGTGGGTGGGGACTGTATCCCTGTCCTCCCAGAAGGTACCGGGCGGGCCTGTAGAAAAAGGCCACAAAAAGCGCAGACTTTTGTGGCCAGTGTGCGGACTACAATCCGCCCCAACCTGGGTTTTTTAAACTTGGGTTGGTGCAGACTTTACCACTGTATGGTACTACCCTCAAAAGTCTCTTTTGAAAGTTGGAAAAGAAGCTATTTGCTAAACTCAACAATGATTTGGTTCTTTGGTGCCTATTATGGCAATAAAAATAAAAATAGCACAGCTTCTAAGCTATGGAGAAATATATTAATACCTTACAAACCAGAGTATTTTTGGGTCACAATTCCAAACATCTATCAGTTACTGAACTTTGTCACTTTGTGTTAGCAACTAAATTTGCCACATAGCTTGGCTGCCTGTTTGCTACTACTAAACCCCAGTGGAAAGCTATTTATTTTCTTAACTAAAATAGGTTTCATGTTACTTAAGTCAAAAGACAAATTAACACAAAGGAATATATTATCTTCAGTTCCTGGGAGAACGCCTGCAACAGTAGAAACCTATGAAACTTCAATTACAATTATAAAAGTGATGATGCGTCTTTAAATAGGGAAAAATACTGTTTTGGAATACTATCTCGTTGCAATTCCAAGCAAAGAGTAATAAACCGCAGTAGTTTTCAGTCTGTAAATGCTTCGTAACAATATGGGGGAGGTAATGCCTTGAGAACAGTCAAAGTAGCACAATAACAAAGACAAGAAAGCAGAAAAGACAGCAGGAAGAAAGAAGAGGATTGTTGCAATTGCTTGAAATATATGAAAAATAAGCTTGTGATAATGAAAGGTATCAGTGCATCTGTGAGAGTAACAAAGGCTCTAAATATTTTATGAATAGAGCTTGAACAGATCAGAAGGTGATTGCTGATCCATTTCTGCAAAGCACACATTGTGGCGAATCTGGTGACTGCCGTCAGAGGGCGTGGGGAACCTGTTGCCCCATGCCCCACACTGTGCAGCTTACCTTTAAGCCAATCCCATGGATTGGGGGGGGGGGGGTTGACTGCACTGCTTCCCCCATTCCTAGCACAGAACACTGGTTCCATGCTAGTTGACCCATAAAAAGCTCTGCTGGAAGTTCCTTTGTGTTGTGAGATGGGAGCCGGTGGGCTCCATGGGTCAACTAGTGCTGAACCAGCACATGCCACCAAAGTAAGCCYCATGTCATGAAATTGTGAATTGATATGTCCTCCAAAGCCAGAAGCAAAATGATGACATCAGTGCTGAAATCTGATAGTATTCTCATCATTTCATGCATGGCTATGAGGAAAGAGCCAGAAATCTCTGCAATCCTGCCTACTTGAGTCGCCTGTGGGCTAAGAAGGGCGGTATACAAATTAGTAAATAAATAAATACTTGCCCTGAAGCATAGAATGAAGAAATGGGGTAGATTCAAAAGCTTTTCAGTAAGTCGGGGCARGGGGAGGCTCTGGTTTTGCTGAGAGGGGARGGGAACACCAACCCCTGCAGAATCCCTCAAAAAGACATCCAAATATTTAAGAAAAATTATGTGTATGGATGTCCCCCAGCCAAAGAGGTTGTATCGTTCAAAAAGGGTAACTTTTCCAAGCTCCAGAGGGCATCCTGATGCAGCCAACAGTGCTTTTGGATCTCCATTACCATTCATAACTGCCCAAAAATGTCAATGAATTAAGCGGCATATTAATTCTGCTCTTATGACATCTGCTGTTCTTTCACAAGCAAATGGAAAACACAAAAAACATGCACACGAGCATCCAAGCATATATTCTGATGTGCTCCGAAGGACATCTAGATACATCGAACACAGATAAGACTAGAGCACTTCGACCTGCACTACTATCCGTAACTGCACAAAAATCTCAATGAATTAAGTTGCCTATGCTAATTACACTTTTTTAATGCTGTCATTCCACAAGTAAATTGACAACAATACAAACATGCACACAATCATCCAGATCTATGTATATAAAATTCTGAATGTGGTTCAAGGTCCTTTCCTTCTGACAACCATTATCTATGCCACTCGACAAACCAGTTGTAAACTGGGAAAGCTTCAAAAATACCCTGCCAGGCACAGCAAGAAACTGCTATCAGAAACAATGAAGTGGGGGAAAAAATCTGCTGGGCACACATGCCTTTGCAGATATTGAAAAAAGGCCCTTTGGATCCTGGCCAGAAGATGTACTTGTGGTGTTACCAATATATAGCTGCTATTTTTACACTGCACTTTGAAACCTCCCGTTGGGTTGGAAACACAATGAAAAAAATTTAAAATCACCAAGGACAAACTTCAGTGTTAAGAAGCACAAACAGTAGTAGGGTACTTACCTAGAATAAAAAAGCTATTTTAAAACAATGGCTGGGATCCAGAGAAGATTCTGCATTGCATACAAAGCAGAAAGGGAGAAGGAGTGGGGGGAATGTAGCATAACTGGTTTTTATTTGAACATGAGCTTTTGTGTACATGAATCCACTACTTCAGATTCAGTACAGGGTGATATTAAAGATTGAAAGCATATTTATATGGTTGTTGACAGTAGGACAGAATATAATAGGACTTAGAAAGATGCAAATTAGGTACTCCATTACTTTCCCCCTTTTCTTCTTGGCCTCATCACACTAGAGAAAAAATTCACTTAAAATCCGGTTTCTGACTCCTGCAGAATTCTGGGGTTTGTAGCTTAGGGAAGAGCCTTTAACAGCCTCACTCAGAAGGAAGCAGAAACCAGATTTTAAGTAGATTTTTATCTCTAGTGTGATGTGATAATTTCTTTGAAAATGACCACATTTCATATGTAGTGGGAAAATTACTCCTTCTTCTTTACAGATGAGTGCTTCAAGCCTAATTATTTTCTGGGGAATGGTAGTGGAATACAACTAATGACAGCTACTAGCCTTTAGTATTTTGGAAGAAGGACCGAAACTGTGGGTGAAACGTCCCAAGTATTTGTGCAGAATATGGCATGCATCACGCTGGAACACAGTCAACTGTTCTCCCTTTTAGCTCCAGCCCCAGGATTCTCATTTAATGCAATAAGAAGAGTAATTTATTCAAATATTTATCAGGGTCAGAAAACATTTTCTGCTTCGGCACAAAGGTGTTGCTAGACAGTTCTTCAATAACTGTGCACACTTGCATCTATTACTGCTGAATAGCTGAAAAGGTCAGCTGCATTCCACACCATGAATACCAGAAACAGAGGCTACTTTATGTTATTGAGGAGCTCAGCCACAATGGCTTGAACATGAGTATTTTGTTGGCATTTCCCCTAGGACCTTCTCTACAAAGTATCATGTGCCTTTTGTTCTGGGAACGGCGGCACTGGCAAAAGATTCATGGCGGCTGGGACCCAAAAGTTTGCAATGTTGGTAACACTGGGTAACCATTTTTATTTTGGTGGAAGTCCTGGATTTTTGTCCCTTACCTAACTTGAACTGTGAAAAGCTGTCTTCATTTGAATACATAAGGGATGTGGACTCTCATACTCAATGTTTGCTTCTTTATCCATGTTATTATTTTTCATAGAGAAGTCAGGCCCCTAGCTGAGGCACTGCTCCTCCACCCCCCATTCCATGTTCTAATTTTAAATTGGGTTTTATATTGTATGGGGTTTGGGTGGGAAGTGGTCTTAATAAGGACTGAGTCTGCCACTGGCCCCTTGTAATGGTCTTCAGCAAACTTTGTCAAATTTGGAACAAACTCTAGTGCACACATGAGAATTTATAGAACCAAGCTAGCAACTTCTGAAGTCTTGATGGAACAAGTTTTTTGGTGGCTAATGCACTTGCCCCTCTAAGACAGTGGTTCTCAACCTGTGGGTCCCCAGATGTTCTCGCCTTCAACTCCCAGAAATCCCAACAGCTGGTAAATTGGCTGGGATTTCTGAGAGTTGTAGGCCAAAACACCTGGGGACCCACAGGTTGAGAACCACTGCTCTAGAGGAATTCACTACTGATCACAACCACACATGAAATTCAGTTTTCTACATTCCTCCTTTCTTTGATATAAGTTAATAATGTCCTGGATTGTCTATCTCAGTGGTTCTCAACCTATGGGCCCCCAGATGTTTTGGCCTTCAACTCCCAGAAATCTTAACATCTGGTCAACTGACTGGGATTTCTGGGAGTTGTAGGCCAAAATACTGGGGACCCACATGTTGAGAACCACTGGTCTATCTGTATCTCTCTCAAAATTGGTTTGTCTCCTCTGCCCTTTTTCTTTAGGCTTCCAAATATTGCCCTGCCGTGTCCCCCTCTCAGTTTTGCCCATTATATCACTCCTCTTATAAACATCTGTTAATCTAGTGTTGAAGTCTGATGTCCTAACAATTCATTTTCTCTCTGCAATCATCCCTAAATGCATCAGAAGCCAACTGTTCCTGCAAGTTGAGCAGGATCAGCCCTCATTAGAAATGGATGGGAGACAACCAAGGAATACCAGGTGCTGTAGGTTATTTCAGAGGAAGAAATGACAAACAACTCTGAGTATTGTTTTGTCGAAGGCTTCCATGGCTGGAATCACTCGGTTGCTGTAGGTTTTTCAGGCTGTATGGCCATGTTCTAGAAGCATTCTCTCCTGACATTTCACTTGCATCTATGGCAAGCATCCTCAGAGGCATCATCAAACCTCACAACCTCTGAGGATGCTTGCCACAGATGCAGGCGAAACATCAGGAGAAAATGCTTCTAGTACATGGCCATATAGGCCGAAAAACCTACAACAACCCAACTCTGAGTATTCCTTGCCTAAGAAAACCCTACAAAATTCATGGGGTCACCATAATTTAAAGGCATATACCCACACAAACAAACATCTGTACTGGAAAATAAACTTGTACACTCTGGGACTCAAGCTGTTAGTGCTTTTGAGCAATAATTTCCCCAACATGCATAATCTACACATATGTGCCTTGACTCTAGTATAGATGCAAGAAGAAATTGGAAACAGCCATGATAACATATATCTAGTCATTGGACCATTTCAAATATTCTAAGGGGGGGGGGGGGAAGAAAATGAAAAAAAAAACTTGAATACTGATAAATTAACTTCTATTTTCAAGTAAGAGTTGTTGTGCCCTTAAACAGAAACATCTGTTGAAGAGTACTTACTGTAATAAATGTTTTTGTCTCGAAAGAAGATGTTCCCTAATATGATATATTAATTGATATCTGCTTCTGTGCTTATGGTGGGAGAATAACTCAGTGCAAGAAGAATATGTTCATTGAATGCTGATTGTTGTTTGAGAAGGGTCATTGAGAGCAATTATGTTTAGCTCAATTTTTTTGTGATCAGGAATATACTGTATGACAGATTTAAAAGAATAACAGTAATTGCAAACAGAATGAGAAGGTTTTACCATGAATGTCAGCCCACTGAAGCACTGATTCATTTCAATTCTGCACTAGCTCTCCCCAGCTTTGCCTACAGTGACAATTTTACCTGGATTATAGTAGCTAAGTGCCTGGATTAGTTCTGGCCTTATGTCTCTAGCATCCACTCTGGAAATAGCCAGTACTGGTGGTGGGGGGGGGGGGGGGGGAGGTCGATTCTACGTGAAGGTAATACATCCAGTGGCCTATGAATTTGGGGGAAAACCCTTGTGTTGGAAATTATTTTGGTGCCTAGAGGGCAATGAGAGTGTTGTGAGAAAAGCCTTGGGGCCATACTTCAGGAACCCCTCTTTAGAAAATGGGTGATAGTATAAAAACCATCTGTACATCTGTACAATATACTATGCTGGGGAATCTTTGTCTCTCCAGATACTTAGACCATAGCTTCAACAGGTCTCTATTATTGGATACATTGAATACGTTTCTGGGAGTTGAAGTACAAAGCATGCGGAGAGGCAAGAGTTCCCCATCATTGATAGGAACCGATTGCTTGCTTGCAACAATGGTTGTTTGAGGAGTCATCTATGATACCAAAACATTTGTTTCAGCCTTGTTTTCCATGGTGATAGCAGGTGACAGAACAAAAAGCTTTCTGCTTCTTTTTCTTTGGAAATGGCATACACAAGAACTGTAACACATTTTTTCCAAAGCATCCATAACAGCTTGATCTGATCGCTAGACCTTATCTTGAGCTAAATCTCAATTTCCACTAGAGTTGACCCACTGAACCAAATGGGTTTACCAATGTGTTCATTCATCATTCAATAACTCAATAAATAGACCAGTTCTCATTGGGACTAACCAATAGGATTCAGCCTTAGTGTGCAGCAGTGGTCTCTGCATTTGTGAAGAAATCAAAAAGAATTCTGGTGTTCTTAATCTAAAGAGCTGTCCTATTCAGTTATTCACAGGATCACATACTTTCATTATCACTCTTTTTTTTTTTTTTGGTGGAAACAGATACAGACATAGAGTCTAAGATCATGCAGAGCACCTACAAACTGCAGAGACTCACTGCCTCTGATTATTACTCTCCCCATTAAGGTTACTAGAATGAGGGGAGCAGGCCTAGCTTGCTCCCTCTGATCACAAATTTATTTCAACTCCTCTTTCAACACATGAATCGAGGTGTTATATGTTTGGAATCCCAAAAATGCTTCATTTAAATCTTCCAATCTCAAAATAATTGAGCCATTCAAAGTATATTTCTCGAATGTTTAGTTTTTTTTTCCCAATTGGACCGAAGGAAAAAATCTATTGAGAAGAGTAATTTTAAAACACACAGGATGACAAAGAAATCCTTCTCAGGACCCTTCCACACAGCCCTATATCCCAGAATATCAAGGCAGCAAATCCCACAATATCTGCTTTGAACTGAGTTATCTGAGTCCACACTCAGAAAATGTGGGATTTCCTGCCTTGATATTCTGGGAAATAGGGCTGTGTGGAAGAGCCCTCAGACACACACTGAACAACACAACAAGACTGCATTGACGCTTGAGCAAATAAGCGCTAAATCTGAAATGACGTGAAAACTAAAGACATGCAGTAAGAAAATGGCTGAGCATCATGCATATCTGCAGTTATACCTTCATGACGGAAGACATTCCTGCTGGTTGGGTTGTGCACAGGTGACGCTTCATAACTCTGGCAGGATTTGGAAGGAGAGGAGAGTGGAGTCCCTCCATGCGAACATACAAAACTCAGGTCCTGCTGTTCTTTGCCCTGGTTTCCAGGTATGTTGTCAAATGCAAATGTTGCGCTACCCACGGGGGAAAGGGAGGATGCACCAGAATCTGATGCTGGTGAGGATGTTCTCACACACATGGGAAGTTGTGATTTTGTAATGTGTGCGGGGCTACCATGACCATACGATGGCTGTTGATAATAAGAGATCATTAAACAGATTACGGCATTCAGGAATCAATCAGAACAACATAGCTTGAATGTACCATTCTTTTTTAAGCACCCGTTTTCCATCTCGTATCTGCTTTCGAAGTACTGTTCCTATAATTCTACATTGTTAAGATTTTATCGTTCCATTTTAAACATTTCTTTTGAAGCATCTGACATCTTAATGAAGTACCTGCTAAACGCAAGTTTTATTTTGTCTGTTGGAATAGTCAAGGGAAAATGTAGTGAAAGACAGCACATTGCCACACACAGAAAATTGAATCAGAGGTCTTGAGAATGCTGCAAGAAAACAGATGGTTTACCTCTGAATAGAAGAAAAGGTGAACAGCTTCTTCATTGTAAAATGTCAACCGCATATGAGGGAATATAATCGACACTAAAATGTATTCATAGAAGTAAACAAAAGCTGGGCAAAGGTAACAAATCATGAAAAGATGACGAAGAATGAAAGTAAGTCACCTTTCTTTCAAGGCTGTCCTCTCCATCTGTGGAGCTGATACTGTCATAGAGTCTTGTTCTGGTTGGTCTTGACCTTTTGTTCTTTACTGAAAGCTGTACACGAGTCTTCAGCGCTTTGGAGTCCAACCTTTCTGTCTCAGGGACCGCTTCATTAAAATCTTTAGTCAGAAAAAAAATCATGAAATATATTAAGTGACCCAATGTTAAAGCATATGGTACACTTTTCTATGCACACTGAACCTTTATTTAGACGCATGATAAATCTGATGCCATGCTCTTATGCACTTACATAATTGTATAGATGGAACCATTTACAAACCTTTAGAAATATCAGAAAACATTGAAACCTCAGATGGCTTATGCAAAGTTAGTGAATAAGCAATCACGTTGAAGTTTCATGAGTTGACTCTAAACTGGGCAGAATTTGAAAATACTTATGTTGACAATCATTGAATAGCATAAGGTTCTTGTGGGTTTTTTCGGGCTATAGGGCCATGTTCTAGAGGCATTTCTCCTGACGTTTCGCCTGCATCTATGGCAAGCATCCTCAGAGGTAGTGAGGTCTGTTGGAAATACATTGAATAGCATCTTGCAACCTAATATTCAGTCAGTGATTCTCAATCAATATCTTCCCACAGACACTAAGAAGCAAATGCCTGGGTAAGTAAATCAGAATTTACTCTGAAATGAAACCAGCATTGGCACAATCTAGCCCCCCAGCATAGAGGACTCCATAACTTACGGCCCATCCAGACAATACTTTTATCCCAGGAGCTTTCGCAGCAAACAGGAGGCCAAACGCCATTCCCTGTAAATGCGGAAGCAATTGTTACAAAAGGCAAAAAACACGAGATATCGTGGTTTTGAGCTGAATATGTGGATCGTCGCATATCTGTATGTCCCTGCAATCAGAAATCATAGGATTTTTTTTTACTGGGGTTTGTTCTTGGATTTTAGATGTTTGTTTCTGATTGGTCGGTTCCTAAAAAGAGGATGACACTTGAGTAGAAAACTTTCTTGGTGTGCCAGAAGCATCATGAAACGTGGGGAGGGCACAGTTTCTCTGGTCAGGACAAAGAATGGAATTTTTGCAGTGATTCACTGCAGTGATTCTCCACATATCCACATCCTGAGTCAAAAACTGCGGAAGTTTCCAGTGAAAGTCCCATGGTGGCCATCTTGGGAGCCTATAAATCTCGCAACAAAGCATCAAGTCTGGATAACAGAGGCAGAAATCCCAGAATCAATAGGTCTGTCTGTGGACCTCTCCTGAAGTCCCGGGATTTTTTGCCCGTTTAAAACCTGTGATTTAGTGCTGTATGGAAGTGCCCTCGGTTACCTTCAAAATTTTGGCCTATTAGCACCAGCCACCAAAGCCAATGGTTGATGGGAATTGTAGTCCAAAAAAATATAGGATGGCAATTAGCTTATAGAAGGATGACATGATGATTAATGTTCAAAGAAATCCTCTACTTTGTCATGATTCCTAAAACTATATCCATCCAAAGGTCTTAGCAGCATGCCAAGCATTTTTTATCTGTAACTTATGGAATGGGTAGATCAGGAATAAAATGATCCATGACTTTTTCTGCTACATAGCCATTATTCATATATGGCATTAGACATGTGAAGAATTACAGCTATCCATTTGGAAGTGGCAAAATATACCATATTCTGCAAAGACAGAATTTGTTTTGAGTACTTACTTATGTGCTTAATTTTTATTGCAATTTCATTTTAAATATTCATCTAGGAGTTGCTCATATTTTAGATATTTTTTCATTGTTATTATTACAAATATATTCTATTGTTTTCAGGGGGGGAGGGTTGCAGTCATCTTCATTATTTGTCTACTGTTTATAATTTGCTCTATTTTCTAGAATCGGGCAGCCTTTTCTTCACTGGATTATTATATCAGCCATCTCATACTTGCTGGATGTTGATACAACAATGTACTGCATTCAGAATTGATCCTATCTGTCTAAGTTTTGACAGATAATGCTGAGCTTGAACAAGTATTTGACAAATATCTGAACTTAGAAAGGTTGTGGGGTTATCAGAGGTAAAAAACATTCCTGAATCATACTGGATTACATTTGTAAACCTAGTACAATGTGATGCTGAATCACTTAGCATTTAATACCAGCCTTGAAATAGTGTATGTTGTTAAGGAAAGTGTGCATCAGTAATAATTCAGAATCTGAGCATGGCAACCACATCAGAACAGATTTGAGTGGTCACAATTAATCAAAGCCACTGATGTAAATGGTGATAGATATATCAGATGTTTAATAGAAGAGAACAGCTCATTTAGGTTTTGGTTATTATTATTATTATTATTATTATTATTATTTATTTAATTTATCGTGTCATCAGTAACGAGACATTTATATTACATTTTTAACAAAAACAAACAAACCAACAGACAAAACACAGAATTCGCAAGCTTGGTAGTTGAATTATTTTAATTAATAATAGCAAATACATATGCAAAGGCATCTTTACTGCATATGAACAAGCTGCTCTGCCTTCATAAAGTCTGGGAAAGAGAGAGCCAAACAGCTGTAATAAAGTCATTTCCTCATGCCTCTCATGGCTGGATTAACAGGCAGAAGACATGTATGCTAATATTCTCAGAGGAAAGCAGATGATCTCATATTCTTATCTACTGGAATGCTATCCCACGCTGTATGGCGATGGTTAACTATATCAAGTGTTAAAATAGCCAGCAGTTGCCCTTACTGAGCTTAGCAAGGAACAACAAGCAAATCTTCATGGGCTTGTTAAGTAGCGTTTACTTTATCCTGGTGCGCAAGCAATGAACCTAATGGCACAATTCTGTGATTGTTTACTTGGAATATTTTCTGAGTACAATATGGCCATTTATAAGTAAATAAACATAGGATTTCATAACCACATTCAATGTTGTCTTTTTCATCATGACTCCTTTGCACTGTGGAGTCTGCGATCCCTGTGGCTTGCTGAAACTACGGAGATCAGGGAGATGAGAAATGTAGTCTGATACATATAGAGGGTTTTAAGTTGAGAAAGGCTGAATTATGGATCCAACTGCATGTGGATGTGACCAAAAAACCCTATGGAAAAACAGTCTCTTGAACCTAGTGCTCAGGCTTTCTGAATGCAGAACTTTCCCCATGGAAACAAGTATTTATTGTGTGTTTCAATGAACCTGTGGGCGTAACCATCGGAGTCATGCACTTCCAGGGGAGGCCACGGGGGAGGTTCCAGATCGAGCACAATCTGAAGACCTCAACAGCGGATCATGTGGAAGATAACATGGTACATGTTACAACAGTTGTGAAGACAGAAGAAGGCTGCAACAGATTGAGAAGCCACCATCGTCGTGTTAACCACGCCACTGGTTGGGATCCTCACTCTGTGAAGACTGTGTGTTGACGGTCTGTGCACTGACCTCCACACATTAAAAAACTCATGCACAGGCATCTTCCAAGAACTTGGAAGGCCATCATACTCAGACAAGGGATCATCTAAGCTAAGCTATGTAGTAAAGAGAAATGAAGATAGCCTTTTTGCAGAGATTGAGAAGGGAGGAAGCACTACTGCTTTTATTTAGCTATTTTTAGTAGGCCTATATGAAAAAAAAAACACAAATACTGGAAAGGACAAAAAAGAAAAAAATAATTAAAATGCAGTGGAAAAAAGTTCTAAATTAAATGGTAAGCAGAAATGTGAGATGGAGTTGTGATATATTTCATAGTAATGTCAGGATAACCATCACACATGTGTGCATGTGATATTAACTTCATTGGCAACTTGGCATTAAAACACACTTTGTGGCAGGGATCACAGTTTACCTACAACTTCCCTATAAGGCTATAGCCCAGATTAGATCCCCTATGCTTCCTACCTAGAGGTTTAACAAATTGCTCACAGAACTACCGATTGCACAATTTGAGCATGCTTCATTTGGCCCTTCATTGTTTTAAGTGCCAGTGAACAGTGAAGAATGGATGCATTGGGACAACACTACCTGGGTGGGTTAGTGATAGATGTACATTTGCTGTGGCTCAAGTCAGTCCTTGGAACAATTACCCTTTTTGTACTACAACTCTTCTGGAAATTGTAATTTTCCTCTATCCCCAACCCAATAGCTTCAAGCTCTAGTGAAATCACAACTATTTCAAAGTCGGTCAGATCAGTTAATCCATCTATGTTAGAATGTGCTTTGGTTCCTTTTAGCAGGTAAGTAAGTATAAGACAGCTCAAAATCTGAGACCATCTGTCTTGCTGAGAACACAAATGCTAGGGAGAAAGGATGCACTAGAAGGGCCTGTAATGGCATCCTTGTGCCAGTTGTTTGTTACTGTCTTTTCCCAAAGAGGGAAATACAGCTGGAGCAGAGAAAAGAAGAATAGTTAGTATTATTGCCAGTTGTCAGTTTAGTAACAGATCACAATAGGCTTTCAGCAAATGCTGGAAAAAGAGAAATCTAAATGAGTTGTTGCCTTGTTTAGGGATGCCCAGAGCCCAGGAGATGTAGTTGTCAAGTTGTCATCTCGAGTTAGAATTTTCAATATTCTTAATATCATTTAGTACTTCTCAAAAGAGTCCATGATAGGCAAAATTATATAGAACCAATACAAGAGTCAAATGAGACATAATGTTGACTGCATGCTGCAAACAGCAGATAGAGAAGGAAGAGGTGGGACTGGAGAGTGAGAGGAATTATAGTTAATTCTCTCAAGCTGTGGTATTATTGATAGAATCTTTCTTACCAGAGCTAACACAAGATTCAGGAAAAAGGTATGTGATTTTGAATGGGCCCCTTCCACTACAAAACTGAATTTATATTGTCCTTCCTATCAGAGATTTTAGGACAGCTTACCTGAATCGTCCACACAAAATAAAACTGTATGCTTTGCCCAGCAGAGAGAGGGTGTGACTAGTGTCATGGACATCCGACAAGTTTTGTACTTCAGGATTACTTTCGCACTACTCAATTGTAATACGACCCCTGTATCCATGGGGATATATTCCTGGACCTTGTGTGGATATGCAAAACTGTGGATAATAGTAAACCCTACTGAAATGAAGGACTACTATAGTAAGAATAGGTATACGAACAATCTATGGAAGGAAAGGAAAAAAAGAAATAAGAAAGAAAAGAGAAGAAAAA